GGGGGGTATTCAACAGAAGGCAAATTATGTATTTCATTTTAGCCTTAGTAGTGCTGGAAAGTACTTTATTGACTGCTCATTGAAACACTGAAACACATTACTGACAACAGAGAAAGGTTCTGGTTTGCTATTTGGAGCAATCTTGAGTTCAGTATCTTGCCCATTGGCATGTAAAGGAGCTGGGTATCAAATAATTAGTGGACAATCCACTCTACCACCTGAGCAACTATCCACAGCTCTTGTGTGTTTATGTGTGGAATGGAAGAATATTTTTTTCAACCACAATGAAAATCAATACAGTTGAGAATTGATAGTGTCATAAACAGTCCCATGGTTATTGCCTAGTCGATATGGCCTATCTAGTCATCCAGCCCCAGCTGAGCCTGCATAGATATGGCCAATGGCGGTGGATGTTACACACGTTTATACCAGTTTACAACCAAAAGCAGTCCAGTGTGTCACAGAGTGCCAGTAACAGCTTGGTACCTGAATGCTGAGACCTCTTTGACCAAAAGGCATTTACGCCTAATTGTTTTCCTTTTTTTGTGAATCAAAAAACGGATTTTTCCCCTAATGATTTAAAGACACACAAGGCCCTGGTTTTACTTCAAAGTAAATTTGTTACTTTCCTATTTTCTTACCTAAACTACATTAGCACCAGAAATGGCTTTTAAAATGAACATTTTAAGCATTTCACACAGTAACTGTAATATCATTTTCGACTTGTGTAAATTGAAAACTATGGGTCTTGGTTCAGTTGATTTCTCTTAGGTGTGAAAACATGGTGGAAAAATATCAACGTGCTGGGCCCCATGATTTGCCTTTCACCCACCCATTATCGTAGGCAAACTATGGGTATATGACATCATTACAGTAAATGTCCTTCATACTATACTCTGAAAGAATAATTTGCTCTGCTCATGTGACTGTAGTTTTTTGGTTATGCCACTTTTGTTAAAGCATTCAAAAGCAGTAGAGGCCTAGTGAAGTGGAAATCGTCTGAAATACATGCTTTTTTTTTGTTTCAAGGTGAGATACAGGGCAGATATATGTATACAGTTATGTGTTTGTCAATCTATTTGTATGAGCAAGAATACATTAAAAGATTACAATAAAAACAATTTTTTTGAAACTAGGGAGAGGAATGGAGCATGTGCAGAAGAAGAACCAGTTAAAATTTTGATTCAGTGTGGTTCAAAACCAAATGCCATCATCCTTGGCATAGCATGCAATCATTCCATACCCTTTTCTATGGTTGTCTTTGGGCTTTTTGCTTGGACCTGTCTTAGGTGAATCAAAACTATAGAAATTACAGGTTGCCCATGTGGAATGATTTTTTTTTTTTTAAATTATGCTTACCCTCACTTACCACATTATACATTTTGCCTGTGAAAATCTATAAATCAATTTAGTGTTTAAATTTCAAAACATAAATGATGTAAAAGTTATGATGGCTTATTTAGAAGCTGCTAAAAATGTTGTAGCTTCTGTTTTACTGTAGAAAATTTAATGTTTGCAATATTAAGATTTAGAATATTCCAACCAGGTAATTATGGCTATTAATATGGCCGTAGATGGGTGTAAAACTCTAAAAGATGCAAAGACACTAATACCTTAATAATTTTAAAAAGTAATTTGCTGGGGTTAGAGAGCTATGATTGTGCTTGTTAGTTGGAAGTAGGTGTCATCACCTGACAGTCTGTAGACAGAGTCTGACAAATACTCTAAACTTGGTGACACACAATTGAGTTTTACGGATTAAATTAGGCTTGTCTGTGGGATGATGATTGCAGGTTACACCTTGTTGCTCTGTTTGACTGGCCTCAGTCACCCAACCCTGTCATTAATATCTGTAGTGCAGGCCCATTAGCTAGCTGGACTATCACCTGAGCAGGTCATAACAAATTTGAAGATGAAGCAAAATGTTTTGCAAAATGCTGGTATCTTGATATGTAATTGAGTGGGAGATCATTTCAGGATACAGAAATCCATTAAACAAAACAAAACAATGAAAGGATAGCATTCTTGATTTAAGACCTATGACAGAGTTTTGACTTCTGCTGTTTGTAAACTGTCTAACAACTTGAATCAAATATGGCTCAGTAAAGGAAAAAGAACTTAAATCATAAATCTTATTAAGCAGGAATCCACATCTCTTGCAACAACAAGTAGGCTGACATAAGTGTTATTTGTTTTTGTTTTCTTTTGTATGAATTCCCATCCCTTTCTTCTTACCAAGCCATTGTTAGTCCATGCCTTTTTGGGCTACATAGTGAACTGTTTTCTGATCTGATGCCCCCAGCAGGATGCGATCATCTGTCTGTGCCTTGACCTTTATGGTCATGGTGACATGTGGGTACTGTTATGGAACTTAAACATGCTTTGAACTTGAACAATTATTGCCAGGATTGAAAGAAGACTCATGTTACAGTCAAATGTTTTGCCCGAGCCATTGGTTCACCTTAAGCACCACTCCCACTCCACACTTTGTCACTTTGTAATGATGTCACCTTACTTTATCCTTTGCTCCCATTATAGTTACAAGAGCTGCTGGAGGACTTTGTCAGTTGATCGATGCAGCTCTCCACCCTCAGGAGTTTCATACAGAAATATAAATGCTTCTGAGGCGAACCAAATAATTTTTTCAGTTCACATAATTGTAAAGTTAATTATATAAGACAACTGACAAAGCATATTAAAAGAGATAAAAGTGATAAAGATAAGTAAAAGATAAAATGAAAGGATTTGCAAATGATAAAGGGCTTCATCAACAATCTACTAATGGTAATTTTGTGGAGAAACTGTTTTGGACTACAGCTGTTGTGTGTTTATCTGTTCCTGGACATCCTAACACTTCACAGCAAGAAAAACACAGGTGTAACTAATCCCATCAGTGAAAAGTTGTTTATTTCAGTTTTAAAGTGATACAGTCATTTTAATACCATCTGTGCTTTCACTCTTGTGATGTTTTTGAAACTTCCCTAAAAGGCAATGGTGTTTTAAAGGAATTTGATCCGTGTTGTTTAGTGTCTGGAAAGTGCCAATTAAAAAAGGAAAACAAATACTTTTGAGAGGCACATTTTTCTAATTACTCTGGGCCATAAATTAAGTCACTTGTGACTTCAGACCACAAAGGTACAGTTATCAAGTCGTAGAGTTCTTGAATTAATCATAATTTGGAGACATTTTTTAAAATGTGTTTTGTTTGAAGGGGTCTCAAGAGAAAATGCTGTGTAAAAACATAGATGAATACAGTCCATCAAATAAAGATGCAATTAGTCTTAAGAGCTTTACAGAAGAAGCCAAATGGACTTTAGGTTTGCAAAAATGGTTTCACCTCTCATCCAAGAGGCTTCTTCATTTCTGAAGAAGGATGCAATTACTTTCATTTCACCAGTTACTTCACTAAGACTAAACATTATTATGAGCTCTAGAGACAGAGACCTCTTTTATCCTCTCTTAATATCTGCCATCAATCTTTCTCTCATTTTAATCAAAAGACCCATTATTAGCACATATTGCCTCTGTCTGTATACACATACAGGAAAGTGTACTTTTACTGACTCATACTGTACATACTCATACTGACACACAGCCCAAAGCCAGCGTACAAATTTTGTCCAAACTAAAAAGAGAATATCTAGGTTAGTGTGAGCCCTGGGGCTAATTCAAGTATTATTTTATGGTTGTATTTATATTTATTTATTAACATCACGTTCTCCTGGGGACCATGAGTAAGTCATTGTTGCTAAGGTGCGCGCAAACCCTGCAAACCGCTTCAGATTAATTGAATGTTTTGGATATAATTTGCATAAATCCAACATGTGCATGTTGGTGTTTGTTCAGTGAGTCAGCTTAGAGGAGGTGGCGCTGGTGGAGTCGTGCTTTTAAAATAATGAACTGATCCTGTGCAGGGCCTACGAGGGTTTTCAAAAAATAGAGTTTGACCAAAATGATTGCCCAGGAGAAAAGGAATTACATAAACATGGACCTCCCACATTTAGACATGTTTTAATTGCAGGCACGTCATAGAAGATAAAATATACAACAGAAAGCTGCCATGACGCAGCTGTAAGGGTCATAAAATAACACACTGGAGCTTAACTGTTTCTGAGATTAGGTAAGATTCAAAATATTTTTATACTGGTTATGGTAATACCAGTTCCTAAAAGGTTATATTTTGACATATGTCTGTGTTAATACTGAATCTTAACAGTTAAAGAAACAGATTTATTCTCTTTAGTTAAAATTTGAGAGCCTATACTTTATTAAACACCAAAATCAATATTAAATTACAACAAAGTTGAAAGTGCTGAAGATTTTTACTTCAAAAAACATAAATATCAAAACACAGTCTTCATTCTCTGGCACTGTCTGTATGTGTAGAAAAGAGTCATAAAAATCCTGTTATGTTTTCATCCACCTTAAAGTGGAACAAAGGTGTGTCTGTGTTTGATGTCAAAGTTCAATAACTCTGTTGTCTCGTGCTTTGTTGGCCTTGTTGACTGCATGCTTCCCTGTCCTTCTTTTTTTGTTCTCAATTCTTTTAATAGCCCATCTTTAACCTCTTTAATCCCTTTGCTTTTTTCATATCAGTTTTGTTTATTTGAACTGTAAATAGAAACCTTTACTTAAACTGTTGCAAAGGAAGATGCAATTTGTTCTCGCAAAAAACAAACAAACAAACAAAACGTGCTATAGCTTCCTGCCTGTTCAGTTTTTTAAAGCCAGTGTGAGGTGAGTAGTTGTCAGATGTTCTGATTTAGAGTTTGTAGATAAAATATTTACATGGAAATATTTGATGTGGGATCCTCAGACAAACCGAATGTCTGACAAACATAAAAGTGCCATAAAGAAGTCAAGTACACTGATTTGCTGTTGCCTACACTGGCCAAAAAGCACCACAACTATGAAATGAATGTCTGTCTAGGTGTAAAATATTTACAAGGCCATTGCACTATAGGAGCAGTCACCCTACCCTCATAGCAGTCACAAATTTTGGTCCTAATTTTCCATTCCTCTGAATGTTATGTTATCCACTTGTAGAAATGTGCATATACTACCTGAGCTCTCACACATATTTTCTGATACTTTAATAAGTTTTTATTACCGTATTGAGATCAGATTTTCTGTGTATATTTTTCCTCATTAAGGGGAAAATTAACTATTGAACTCTAGATTATCTATGCAGATATTTCACAGTATGGCATAGTTATCGTTTAAAACTATCAAGATAACAGTGGTGAATGCAGCTGTCAGATAAAAAAACAACTGAAAATCCTGTGCTGCAGTTTACATTTAGAAATATGTTTTATTCTGTTGGGAATTAAAAATAAAAACAGAACTTCTAACTCTTGCTTGGATTTTTTTTTAAAGCAGCTGGGGTGGTTCTTTACTTTTTTGGTGCAAACTTTAGAATTGTTCAGTTAGGATTGAATAAGTTTAAAACCAGAAATCTGTTCAGAACAAAACCTATTCCAATGAAAATGGTGGTCTCACCACCTTCCATATATTTCTGAGAGAGAGGCAACATTTTAAATTGCCAATTAAATGCATTAAATTGCTGTTCTTGTTTTCATTAATACAGCTTCAATACTGAGCTTTTGTAGTTAAATGCTTTCTTCTCCTGCTCGTCATCTCTACTTCTTTCTTTGTTGTGTGTGTGGTTGTAACCTGTTGATCCTACAGCTCCCAGCCAGACGTGCCCACAGATAAACCTCCTGCTCTTCACCTTTTACTTTCTCTTATGTGCAAAATTGGCTGTGAGGGACTGTTGAATAATTTAGCAGCCTGGTGATGGGGCTCTGTGACACTGCTCTTAGTGTGTTTACTTGTTTCTGTGTGTGTGTGTGTGTGTGTGTGTGTGTGTGTCTGTGTGTGTGTCTGTGTCTGTGTTTGTATTTATTTAGGGAGGAGGGGTTTGGAAAAAGACAGTGTGTGAGAGAGACTGTGAGTTTGGGGGGAAAAAAACAAGACAGTAGACCACACACACTATTGACAGGGTTGGAAGAAAATGTTCAGCTGAAAAGGCACTAGCACAGATAGTTGCCAGAGAGGATGAATGGCTTTAATGAGAAAACTCCAGGCTTTGCTCTAGAGGGACAGACACACAGACCGACCCCTCTGTATTCATGGGATTTCTCTGAAAAAGCTTTCACAGTGAATGAAGGATGGTCTTTGTGCAGCAGAATGAGTGTGACCAGTGCTCTGCGTATGTTTGTGTGCCTGCATATGTGTGAGTATGCCTAGCTTTCATTACCATTTTCAGACAAGTGCACATGTGTCCAACGCACAAGGTATGCTGGTGATGCATTAATTGGGGGATGTTTTAGATACCACACAGGTCGGCTACTTCATTACCTCAGTACAAATGAAAATCACTCGTATAGAGAGGCTTGGTACTGTGAATTTGCTTTACAAGACTCCAAATTAGGATAAAATACTTTTGTAGCTTCTTGGATGGAAAAATGTTTCAAAGCAACTCAGAATAATCTCCTCTGAACTTTTAGGTCTTGGAAAGAACATTTCAAAGATGATCCTTGTATATGCTGAGACTTATGTTAGATTATCTGTGTGATTTGATTTTGCTGGCTTTATCTTTCACTGTGCCGAGATGGATAGAAGCAGTTTTTCCAGTGCAAACAATCAGAAGTAATGACTTTATTTTTAGCAAACCAACATTTCTATCTTCACAGAACTCTTTTTGTCCTGCATTTACTTTTTTATTCCAATACACATTGTCAAACAGAAATTAAACCTTTTTTAAATTTAAGATTTAAATTTACATGGAATTAAATGCAAAATGTTTCTATCTAAAAAAATCTTTTTATTTTTCATTCAGTTACTTTAGAAATGAATTAACTGTTTGTTTATTGAAATTTTCAATACATTTTCATCACTACTCTCTCCACGTCTTAGATTAGATTAAGTTTTTAGGCCTCTCAAGTCTAAGAGGCCCAAAGCCAAAGATATAATAGGCCTCCAAATCATTCTCATGTGTGAAGGCTTTTATGTATCTTGGTTGTGCTTGTTCCATTCTCATTACATAACACTCTGTAGGTCTACATAATTGAAAATGGCTTTTCTACATCAATGTGGCGATTAAAATTGCCATTGACCTACAAAGCTGTAAGACACAAAAGGGCCGTCCTCCTCTGCTTTGTCACAAGTGTGCATTGTGTAACTTGGGACTATTGAGAGCCGTTCTACTGTAATAGACATTGCGAGTAACATTAGGGCCATTGTTGCTGGAGGTGCCCCTGAATCCGAATTTTCAAAATTATTGAAATGGCAATAATTGCAGGCTTATATAAAGTACAATATGCCTCTTTCAGAGGCAGGATTTCAACTTCAGTATTGTGTAAGAGCATAAACATAAATGAAGCAATGGAATAAATTTCATAGCATTCGTTGCTAGTAGATAACTAAAGTCTTAGGTTCTGTTCTGACCAATTCTGCTTAAATAGAGGGACTGGGTAACACTATGGTAATATTGGATGAACCAGGACCTTATTTTAGTTACAGTGAATTGGCATGTCTTGGCACTTTATGGTTGATTACAGTAACTTAATCACCCCTTTCGGGATGTACTTCACAGTAGCTGCAGCAATGTGCTGGTAACATTATCTCTTATACACTAGACTCACTCAAAACACTGGACCCACGTCACACACAATTTACACATACTTGCGCTTTGACCTTTTGGAAGATATGGGTATCAGCCTTCAATTTCACTTCAATAAGAGTACAGCACAGAGTGACGCTTTGAAGCATTGTCTTTCAGGGACTTTCATGGCTGTTTTGAAAATGCATTTTAACAGTGAATATCTTTTAAAGGCTGAAAGAATTTAAGATTATCAACATGTGTTAATGACAGTAGTGACCGGGAACATTTGGGTGGCATTATTTTACAATTAGAGATTTATTCAAAGTTTTCTGTCTTGAATGATCAAAAAAGCTGTCTGGAGACACAGTATTGCGCACTTTATACACCACCATTAGTGACCCAGTGACATTATCTTCTGTCTAAATGCTGGTTCTTAAACCTGTTTTTGTTATGTATTCTGGCAGTGTATTTGCAAGAACAAACGTTTTTGAATCCTTTATAGTGAACCCAAGCTGTTTTAATGAGAAATCATCTTTGTAAAATATGGGTTTGGCTTATTTATTGGATGACTTGATTGACAAGCTCTCTTCAGGTCATGGCACAGCGGCCATTGGTAAACAAGACATTTGTCTCTCTTGTGCTCTCTTTTTCTTTAAATCATCGTGTTGTTCATTTGCTTTTGAGTTTTGAGTAATTGTCTTGCATCACTCACCCTCTCTGACGTTTTAGGGTCATGGACTGCTCCCCTGACATTTTTTTTTTTTTTTTGTAAAATTTCTTGATTCAGATTTGAATTAAAAGTTTCTTCAGTTATTGCAAAGCATCCAGGCCCTGGGGTAGCAAGCCATGATATTGGCCTCCACTATGTTTCACAGCTGGAATACAGTTTTGTTGTTGAGCGGTGCCTTTTTGCCCCCCTCTAAATAGTTTAAATCATGTGACTGCAGAATATCATCCACAAGTGTTGTGGAACATCCAGCTGATATTATTTGGAGTATGCTTTAAAAATGTTTTCATCTTGCGCTTCTGTTAACACCATTCTTATTTAGTGTTTGTGTTACAGGGAACATGAATCCTTTGTTTTTTGTTGGGGTTTTTTTGTGATGGTTTTTGGCCAATCAAATCAAGACTTTTGCAGATGTTTTTCCCCCTATCCTTGCATCCTTATTTTACATTATGTGAATTTTCAGTGTAATCAGTGGTAGGAAGCATAACAACACTTCTTCTTTTTTTTCCCCTCCCCCTCACACAGTAGTAAACAGACAATCTTACCTAGAGCTGACAAATGCCACGGAGCCTTTTCTAGCTCTATGCATGATTTTTAAAATGCTTCCTGTGAAAGTTATGGCGATCCAGACATAGTTTTTTATAGAGTGGGGACTTAGTTTTTTCCCTTTTTTCTTTAAGGATGTGATTACTGACCAAAAGTCTTCCACATTTTTTTTTCCATTCACACAATGGAAACCCCCCAAAAACAAAAAAAAAAAAAAACCCCATTCTGCTGATAAAGCTGCCGATTACATTTGTTGTCTCTGCATTAGTTTAAGTCACGATCGTAGGCACACTAGCTCATCTCTAATCTGTACTTCATCCCCACGGTGCTTAAGCGAGATAGAAATGTAGAGGTCCATCAAAGTAATCTGTGCAGAGTTCATCATAAGTCATCTAAAGCACAAATAAAGTACCCACTGTAAGGTTCTGAGCTGTTGTTGCTTTAAGGCAACAAGAGCGAATCACTTCAAATAAACTAATGAGTAAGAATTGGCCCAGGGTTTAGGTCCGTGGATGGGCCACTTATTTGTCTAGTATTTGTCCCTCAATCCACCAACGCCTACATTTATGTTGGCATTAGGCTTAAAACTAATCTGAGAAGGTAACAGTCTTGTGTGCGTGTGTGCGTTTGTATGCATGCATGTCTCAGTAGTGCCACTAAGCTCTTGAGATGAGAGCTGCCCTGAAGTCTCCAAATCCTGCTTTACAGCATAAACTATGTATGTGTATGTGTGTATTCTTCACTGTGTGAAAATGAGTCACTGCTATAAAAATCCACACCATGCCACCCTGGCAGAATAATCAGAACATAATGTTTAGTTTCTTTCTATCTCACTGGATTAGTTTATTTTCATCCGGGAAGAATTTTTCGTGTTGTTGAAATAGCCTCGCATTTTGGTTCCCTCGGCTTTAAATAAAGCGGTGTATCACTATGGGACATGATTTTAAGCACAACTCCAAAATGACTCATCAAAAACCCACCTCAGTCATCCTCAGCCACACTGGGAGTCATTGATTACATTTGTAAACTCTGAGTATTAGTGTCATTCATTTAAATTTAGGAAAATCAACACTCAAAAAAGAAGGATGAACTATCAAACTAGCCTAACTGGTTTTTAGTGCTCCAATTATGCACATAATTCAAAAGTTGGCTACTGACACCATTTCTCGTGCTTTCAGTTCTTAGATTGCACAAAATTCCCCAGGTTTTCATGAAGGAAGTGATGTCATTGTTTATAACGTCTACAATCAGTTTTGTGACATTTTGTTTTTACATCTAAAAACTGAAACTAAAAGGGGATTAAAGTTGGACAAAGTCCATGTTTGACACCCTGAGATCTCAGTTGATGAATTGTTTGGCCAATCCCCTTGAAAGCCGTTTTTATTTTTTTGTTTTATTTTTTATTTTTTTCAACCAAAAACAAGAAATGCAATGTTAGGCGGTTGAAGCAGTTTTTGTTGGCCAAGTTGTGTCTTGGAAATTGACAACATGTGACTCAAGATTTCTGATTCATATCACAGTGTGTCATAACAGGAGGAACAGAAAGTAAGAGATGGATTTCAGGATTTTGATTTCTAGGCAATACACTAATGAAGTTTATGAAAGAATGTTAACATAGAATGTCAGAGATGGTGTTATGCATGTTTTCCAGAGCATACGTTACCTTAATTCTTCTGAACTTGGAATAAGAAGTAATTTGATTAGTATTTCACTCATTTATGTTTGTACAGGTGAGCATGGACTAGTTAAGAGCCTTAAAATCAGAAACTTTTCACATGGGCTGTCACACTCTTTAACTTATCTTCTACAAACCCACAATATCCCTAACCCTTTTTTAAGTCATTACCACATGCTCTGTGCCTTAGTCTCAGCCATTTTTCTGTTTTTTTTTTTCTGTTTGTTTTTTTTTCTTTGTTAAAGCACATTTCATCATGTCATGCTGCAGCTGGCCCGCTAACCTTTATAACCTTCTCTTTTCCTCCAACACCACGACTCACATGTATGCACATCCACTGAATGCTCTGAAACATTTGGTTAGCATTGCAGCAGTATGCTTCTCAGCCACCAGGCCAGGAGACATTCCAGTTTAACTTTCGTTTTTTTAATTTAATATGACCTCTTTTCTGTTTCATTCACATAAAATGTGTAAAGGACCAGTATTTACAAAATTGCCTTAAGACTCGATTATGTTCGCTTGTGACAACAGGGTTTATCTATTGTAACTCATTCTGCTGATTTATTCTTCATTTTTGTACTGTACATAAAATATTCATGTTTTTTTTTAAAATTCAAATGAAGTATCTTTACAGTCTGCATGCATTTTCTGTGTTTATACCTCTAACCCTTAATCCATTAACTAATTGCTCAGTTAACAGATAATTAATCAGCAATCCAATTTGATAAAAGATTGTTTCAATGAAATTATTACAATTTGTACAGCCATGTCACATAATTAACTGAACAAGATTTTGACTCATTTCAAAGTAGTGTATTTTAAAAGCCCTTATATAGCTCACACAGTACAGTACATCAGTATAAAATGTATTATTTTATTTCAAAGTGAAGACAATTGAAACCTCTTTAAAACACTCACAATGCTGCCTTTATGTTCTTATCAGTCCATCAAATAAAACTGACCTCGTCAAGAACTCGAAGACTCAAATAAAAGATGCAAATAAACCTGTATTGTTATACTTATTCCCACTACATAGACTGTACATATTTTTCTTTTCATTGTTGCTTGGTCATAAATGCCAGGCAGGGTGGAGTAAGCGAGGAGGAGGAGAAGTGCAGCCACAACTTTCCCAGAGGCTCATGCAAGCGTCAGTTGTGTTATAAATCATTCAGGGACACTCAGAAGGGGCACAATACATTTTTATCTTTCTTCTCTCATCTCTGAATCCCCTCTCCCTGTTTTATTATTGAATGTGGTTCCTTTGAGCGTCCAATCTGCCACTCGGCACCATCAAAAAGAGAAAGGAGGAAGTAGTGGGGGTTAACCAATAAGACAGAGAGAGAGAGAGAGAGAGAGAGAGAGAGAGAGAAGGGTAAAAATGGCTGTAATGTGGGAGGCGGAGGAGATGAGGAAAGGACTCATTCCAGTTTGATTAGACACAGGATTTCGGTTGCTCAAACAAAAAGGTCACAGTGTCATTTGTGTCCTAAATAACAGATCTACTGTAAATCTTGATTGTCCGAGACAACAATTGATTTTTATTGTGTGCCCGTCTCAAAACGATTATGTAGTTGTGGGTGAGGTTGGATTCACTGGTAGTTGATGCTGTTCCACCTGCTTGTCAGAACGAAATAAAGGCCAGTAGCTGACAGCGCTCTGCTGTCAGAACAACTCTCTCAGATTTGATGTGTATGTGTGAATCGACTATATGTGTAATACTGTGTGTGTATGTGGATGAAAACAAAATATTATGCTTGCTTGTGGGTGTGCTTGCAAAAGCTTGTGTCCATAAGCACTGTATGTAGTGTCCTTGAACTCATGTATTTGAAAGAAGATGCATTTGTCTGCAAAATAGGAAGCACTTCTTCATATAAAATGCTCGGATATCTAGCCTGAGATGTTGTCAGCTGACTGTAGTCTGGCATAGACCTTGAGCTCCCTGTGAAAATGGCCAAGTGGGTGTAGAAAATCACTCAACATGAACATGGTTTTTGTATCTCTCGTTCTGCATTAAGGTAGACTGTGGATCCATGAAGATGGTGCCTGTATTTTTACTGCTGCACTGAATAAAGTTATACCAATGAGCATTTTAAGGCAAAAAACATCTCAAGCCCGCCTTTTTGAGAAAATGTACACAGATTACATTTCCGCTAAATTTTCTGTTTTTGTTATGGAAATTACATTGCCATCTTTCCCAAAACTGAGAACATAATAAGTATCTATCACTACAAAGATTTTCATTGGCTGTTGAGTCATTTCACCATCTGCTGTTATCAGATGTGTCATGCTATTTGTTTCAGTTCCAGAGTCCACCTATGGCATGGTTACAGTTATAATTTAGTGTATCTCATATATATGCTGTTGACCTGATGAATCAATCAATGGAAATTAACATTTTACATGACACTTTTGATTATTTACGCTCAGTGATGATTTAGTGACCTTTGTTACCGTGACACTCTGTGAGCACTACACTTATGGCTGTAAAGAATTCCTTATGGTTCTTACTGGTAAATATTACTTTCCTCCTTTCTTGTTTTATGAGCCAATGAACAACCCTTTGGTACTCTAGAGTAAGGAAGATGATATAAAATGTAGTTCAGATGCTTGTTGAGACTGTATAATGTTGTGAAATGGGGAAAAAATACTAAATGGTTGACAAAGTAGGCACTTTCAGAGTGAAGCTAATGATATGAGATCAAATTGATAATCATAGTGTCTAAAATATCCCACCCACGACAAAAAAAAAAAAAAAAAATATCCCACCCAAAATTTTATTTGTTTATTTTTGCCTCTTTTTTTTTTTTTTTTTTTTAAACCCCAGGAGCAGTATTCCACCAGTCATGAGGGCATCTGAAAAAATGCAACACTGGATTTAAACCGAGAAGAGAGAGGGAAGACAGGCTAGTCCTACACACCCCTCAACACATTTCTACAGGTAGGTTATGTATTTGACTCTCTGAGGCTGTTTGATGTATTGTTTTTGCATATTATGACAATCTGTCTATGAGCAGTTTTTTATTTTTTGTTTTATTTTATTTTTAATACAATGAATTCATTTGTGTGTCAGAAATCCCCTTCATGTTACAGTTAAGACAGAGGACACAGGGATCAGCCAAATGCAAACTGGGTCAATATTGAAAGCTTCTGCCCTGCTGGCTCTCTGATGTACTTAACAGCCAATCACCTCTCTTTCACACTGATTTGCAAGAATTTTTCCTCAGGTTGTGACATGCAAAAAAACTTTCTTGCCTGGACCAGTTTTGAAGTTAACAGCAGTTTAAATTAAAATGAAACTTCATGTTATGTCACAGCTACATCACTGTTCTTTTTTTCTATAGTCATGGTGATTGTGGTTTTGAAGTGACTCGGATTAAGTACTGCAGTTGAATTTGGTGGACAAGGGTTGCATTAAAAGGAACGTTTTTGTTTGGTTGTTTTCAGTTTTCCATAGAAAGTCATTTTGCTCGGGCACCACTAAGCTGTAGCGATTGAAGAACTTGAGGTTTGTCTGTGGTTTGCAGTCTTTTATGAATTAGGCAAAAATGTAAATCCTTCTGCCAACTTGTCATCTTTACACAGAGGGCCCACAGCCATCATTGGAATCAGTGAAAAGGAAAGCGCGCGTGTGTGAGTGTACATTCTGTGCCATAGGCAAAACTTGCTGCTGAGTCACACCCTGGATGGGGAGGAAAAAAGCTTGTGGGGATTGGGTGTGGTAGAGAGGAATGATTTTGGTTACAGAACGCCTCTCTAGGCAAGGATAAAGACTTATTTGAAATGTCTCGACTTCCCCTCACTGTCAGTCTTGTGAGCTCAAGGGCAAAGAATCTGTTAAGTTCACACTTTAGAGAGCTGCTTCACAATCAGGTCCATAAGACAGGTCGCAAATACTGCTTAAAAATGTAACTGGCAAGGTGTCGAGGATGAAACGGAGTGAACTTTTGACTTTAGCTGCAAATGTTTCATGTCTTCACTTTCTTCATAGGAAAACAGGGGCTCACATAGCCTGAAGTGATTCTGCCACCTGATTAAATGTTAATGCCCTTAGCAGCTTTGTGTCATGGCTTCATATGCGAATGGAAATCTATCTGTCAAAGAAATGAAAGGGTTTTTTGTGTTTATTTTATATAATATGCCTAACTCTTCATGCTTCCTGCATACGTCCTCATGAGTGTGGCTACCATTTGAAAGAAGATGAATTAACTGTGAACAGAGACAGACTGCAACAATAATTTAGGCCTCGAATTTCACTCCATCCCAGGCCACTCTGTTCACCAAACCAACAGACTGCTAATCTTGCATGATAACCCCATGTGTCAGAATATTAGATTCTGTTTGACTGAATATCATGCCCATAATAAATTTAATTTGATGGGTTATTTGTAGTACACAGATAAGAGCTACAAACTGCAAAATCTGTCCTTAAAAACAAACAAAAAAATAACCCTTGAGCTTAAACTGAAAGCTCCAATAATACTGATATACCTGTTTTTGACAGTCCTGACCCCTATTTCTTCAAATACGTTATCTATCCTTTTTATTATTGCTCTCTCCACCAATCCTTTATTAATTGATGTTATGTAATGGTGGGTGATTTGTCTAATATTATGCATATAGAAGCAGGTAGACTTTGCTTCCTTTGATGAGAGAAGGGTGCAGGTTGCATGTGTGCATCTTTGTGGAGTCTACAAAATTGCAGAAAGATAATGCTCTTAATAGTTGATGGTGGCAGTTTGCTTGATGCTTGCATTTGGAGTTTTATCTACTTGTTCCTGATTTTAATATCATTGCTCAACCTCAGGACAGGTCAAAATGACCCTCAGGCTTGTGCTTCAGTGGGGACTCCACCACTGCATGTGAGTGCTTTAGAGTCATCAGTTCACTACATCTGCCTGAACTCAGTGGCCAGGCAGCAGTCTGGAGAATTACCATTCAAATTAAGCTATTATACTATTGAGGTTGTGCCAAATATATGTAGTCTATCCTTAAATGGCCATTTGTGTTGATTCAGAACATACACTTCACAGACTTTCCACAATAAGAAAGAGTGTTATCACATTTGTAGCTTTAATTTGGCTTGTTGTCATCACTATACAACCTTGGATTGTGCATTTAAGTAGGCTTTTATATTATTCATACAATAACAAGGTTGACCCATTTTATGCCATGCAGAGGCATAACACACACACATGCATGCACATGTCACACACTCAAATGCCGTATCCTCCAAGGACCTTCTCCTACTCCGGTGAGATGTGAGGCTCTATCTGCGCACACTACTACACTAATACACACTACTAAGGCTCTAAGCCCGCTTTCTATAATGTCATGATAGGAGTTGAGAGAACTGGATTATTACGTAATTCTTATTCTTGCACTCTCACACACATACCCACCATAGGACTAGCCTCAGTGTACAGTTTGGTGGATTTTCTGCTTCTTTTTTTCCCCGTTTCTGATTAGAGCTGGTGATTTGAATCCCAGTAAGAATTCCCACAGTCTGTCTAATTCCTGTTCCTGTCTAAAGCTGGGAGGAGGGCCAGTAAGCTGCTTAAACCCCCCTGGCTATACAGAAACATATGGGCAATTGTGTGCTCTCATTGATGTATTGGTGCAGATACATGCTTGTGTACAGTACCCTGTTTATCCATGTGTAAACATAAACATACATACATTAGTGCATACCTGCATTTGTGATGTAAATGTACACAAACAACCTCAGAAGCATGTACTTCATTTGTGCACACATGACTTTAGATAGACGTGAACCTACTGTAAATGACTGCATGCAAAGAAAATGTTCTTCTTTCTCCAAGCTTGTCTTTTTCAGGCAATTATTGATACTGTCATTTATTGATTATTATTGATACGGTCTTAGAAACCTTTTTAATAACTCCTGTACAATACAGTGGGTTTCAGAATTAGTTTACTCACCTTTTGCACAGAAGACACTCAATATTTCTGTGAAGCTGTCGTCTGTTTTCATTTATCAATAATATCAATTATACAAAACAATTCTGTTTCCTCTTTTCTCTCTTATCTGTCTATGTGGTAACCCAGTTAATTCTTATGCCCTTGCACAGTCTATTATTCAGGTATTGTTTAAAAGAATATAATCATTTAAAAAATAATGAATACAAATCCTGTATTGAAAACCTTTCTAAATGTTCAATTTGAACAGTATTGGTATGATTGGCTTTCTGGACCATTTTATAATATATAGCTTATTTTCATATAACTGGCCAAGAATTTACATTGCGGTGTCCCATTTAAATACTTGCAGTGCCGCAGATGATATAGAGCCATATCTGTCAGCTTGAGTGGTCCTTAAGAACACGTTGGCACATCAATTAGTGATAGCAATGCTAAGAGGGGGCCTAAGGGTATTATGGATATGCTTTGTTATGCATGTATGTTTCTTGTATATGCCTAATGTTATGTTATGTTATATATGTCCCATAAATATTTTTTGATTGTGTTTACTGACATTAGAATAAATGTGTTGTTGGTGTAGTGTATCAAGATACAAGCACTGTTGTTGTTGTTGTTGTTTTAAACTTTTTTCTTTCTTTTTTTTATAAACAAATATGTGCACTAGAAAGATAATACATTACATTTGTAAATATCATGACAGGATTTTTTTACTGGTAATACCTGATAAAAGCTTGTCAATGTTAACCCCTACCTGGAAACGGTATGTTTTGAATTTTTTGGGACCAAACACTGCCAATTCATGTATGAACTCACTATCAAGAATTTTAGTGGAAAATCCTTCTAATTGCTCTTCAAAACATATTAAATTCTCCAGTGAAACTGTGTTTGTGTAAGTACTAGTCAGATTAGCATAAATCACATAATCTCTTTTGCACATAATTTGTATTTATGATGTATAGTTTATTGTATATAGCAAATCCGGTAGCCTAATCACCCACCTGCACCTCACACACATCCCATTTACACACTAGGTGTACATTATTTCTGCACATGCAAAAAGATTCACACCTACGCATATGTATAGTGTCATTCTTTGAAAATGTGGCTCTGAGTATGTTGTAAAAAATTTACACACACAAGCATTTAATCTGTCTAAGCCATTTGCCTAATCAGCTCTCTCAGAACAATGCCATTCATAGATCCTTAAAACACACACACACACACACACACACACACACACACACACACACACACACAGAGCAAACTGTCCAAACACTGGGCTTTGCTGGGCTAGTAACAGCTTTACGAAGCCCCCTGAGTTACAACCTGTTGTTGCCACATTGCATCACTTCACACATTTCGGGAGACTGGAGGAGGAAGAATGGAAAAGAACGAGAGAAGGTGTTCAGTCTCTGGAGTGATCACATGAATTAGGTGTTCATTTGCTTCATTTTTGTCTCTTGGAAACAGTCAGGAGATTGTTCTATCTTTGTGGCTTAGATCAGCTTTCAGAGTTTGGGTAAAGCCCACTTACTCTGTTGGACTTTTTTTTTTTTTCTCCCCCCTCTCATTTTTGTTACCCTGTACAAACTAATGAATGCATCATAGTGAGGGTATGTACATGTATATCTGTACTTATGTGCACTATATGCTGTGGGTGTGGGGAGAAAGGTGAGATGGAGGTTGTGTCAGGCTTTTTTTTTTTTTTTTTTTTAAGTAGTTATGTTAGAGAGCTTAAGCAGGAGAGATGAGAGAAAGACGGGGCTGATGCAACCAGGAGACACACAGACAAATGTTTCAGAGTCACTAACACAGACATGGACAGACACAGGTTCATATTGTAGGTGCACTTAGGAAAAAGCAAATTAAATACTTACTGCTGTATATGTGTGTTTATGTAAGAATTAACATTGCACACACATGCATCCAGATATAAGGCGATGTATGCAAGTTTCTTAAACTGATTTATATTCTTTTATTGCACTTTTATGTTGGAATAAATATAACATACACATTAATAAAATAGTACTAATGTTTAATTTACAACCCACATTATTGAAAAAGCTCATTGATTGGATATTTGATGAGATCACAAAGAGCTTCGAGCTGCACCAGTAACTGTGCGCAGTTTGTGTACAAACAGCTACACTGCTATATTGTACACACTTCATCAACTGTAAGATTTTTATTATAGTCATGAAGAAGCCATATTAGGGTTTTATGTTTCTGAGGAAAAAAAACCCTCTATGACCAATAGATGCCTTAAACTAATTTGTAAACCTGTATGTATGATCTCTCACCTTATACAGGCTGATAAACTGGAACCATGGCCGTTGTTTATGTGTAAATCTGTGGCTACTTACAAGAATGTTGTGGAGCATTCTTCAAGAGAAGCCAGGGCTAAATGCCATGAAATTGATTTTAGTCAGGCTACAGCACAACTGATTTACCCAAAGCTGAGATGTTACGGCAGCTTTTTAAATGGCAGCAGGCTGTCACAGTGCTCCAGGAGACCTTTCTGTATGCAGAAGTTCATAAGAAGCAGCATGTGTGTCATTGTGGTTTTCTTCATCATTATTTCTAACATTCACTGAAATAGACTGTGGGCAGTGTCACTGTATATTTTGATTTATATTTATATTTTGGAATATGAAGCACAGCAACAAGTCTTTTTGCTGCAAATCACTCACTTTACTTACTTTGATATTTCAAAAGTCTTTAAAACTTATGTCCAAGCTCATATCCTTTACATTGAATTGGGTAGTGTCATCAGCCCAGTATATCTGTGGAAAAACTTATCAAGAGTAGCACAAGAAGCTAACAGTAGCTTCCTGGTTACATCAAGTGGACAGTTTAAAGTACAATAAAAGTGTGTTGGGAAAAAAATCCATGTTTCTCAAACGAAATTCCAATAACCAAAACGTACACGAAGCCTAGTGACACATATTTCTGTCCATATTCAAAACCCCAAGGCTGGAATCATTATGCGTCTGGTGCTATGGCACAGAGGGCTCAGGACTTTGCCTTTAAGACTGATATTTTTGGAGTGGGTGCAATGGCTTAGATCCCTTTAAGAGCAGAGGATTAGGATGATGCTGATGCTTAGTGTCTTGGCCTGGGTGCCTGTGTGTCTTGCTGCCTCTGCCTGTATGTCAGCTTTCTCTGTGTGGGGCTGGCCTTTGGAGCCAGATTTACTTGCTGCATCTGGCTGATGTGCACACAGATTTCATGGTAGAAAGAAAGAGAGAGGGAGAGAATGAGAGACACTGGTATCAGAGAGATGCTGTGCGCCTGCGTGCATGGGTGTGAATGTGTGTTGCATGTTCAACGAAGCTAACTGGAGCAGGGTGTCCAGGATGCATACACGCTTGATGGCCTGGCTGCAGCCTTGTGATACAAAACAGTCAGCATTAGTGTGTTTGTGTGTGTGCGCGGGCACTATGTCCATGTGTGGAAATGATGCATCAGTGACTCAACTTCTGCTGTCAAACATGTGCGTGTGACTGTGTATGCAAGTGTGACTGTGTGTGATGAGCAGCAGGACTAGACTGCTATCGTCGTCATTATTAGCAAACATTTTTTTATTAATTTTTTTCCTGTCTTATCACCTATCAGCTGTCAATGAGAAGCACTAATGAAAATACTCAAAGAAGCCCTGCATATTGCACATGAAATAAGGATATTCTGTGAAGTGACATTAAATCAAACAGTGTCTGGATGTTCACAAGTATCAACAACCATCCTTGGGTGTAAATGCATCTAATTTTAGCATATATGCTAGGAAACAAATGTGTTGTTATCCAGTGCACGGCAGTAAATATCAGCCTAATAGTCTATTCTCTTGACCTTTCTTTTTCCCAGGTCTAGCTGGCCAATGCCGGACCCGTCGTGGATATTTGGTGGTGGTAGTAGCAGAAGTAGCGTGTATGTGAGTGCGGTCCCTGGCGCCTAGCCCATGTCCAGCACATAATGCCGTCGTCCACACGGAAAGGAGTACCGAAGGACCCCGAGTTGGCTGACCTCTTCTTCAAAGATGACCCAGAGGACGTTTTCTGTGACCTGCATGAGATCGGTCATGGCAGCTTTGGGGCCGTCTACTTTGTAAGTATCAGTTCACAATTATGGTAACTCTGGCTTTCAAAGGCCTTGAAGTAAATTAGAAATTATTCTTTTTGAGATAGATTTAAAGCACTTAATTTGAGTTTTGCAGCTTTAGTGATACAGATCTGAAAGAACAGCAAAAGTGGTTGGATCATTTAAGAAGTTGCATAAACACTTCTAACATTATATATTGCAGTTTATCATTGTTATTAGCTAGTTACATATGCACATACTTACGCTTCCTGCTGAATAAAGGAATATGCATGCTGTAAATGTAGTGCACCACATTATGGCTTTTTGAAAGCAGTTAAGTGGAGACAGATCCTCTCTCAGCACTTTTTCTGTTTCTTATTAATATCATCATCACTAATTACTCATCAAGCTTTGATATTAAAGCTGCATGGAGGAGGGAATGAAAAGCATCCTGCATTCTCCTTTTTCTCCTCCTTTCTCCCTTTTCCTCCAGATGCAGGACTAGGGGCGATAAGCCTCCTCCCTGCCTTGCAAGACAGCTGTTCTGTTGATATATAAATACAAAGTAGTAGTCAATGAAGGGGGAGGATTTTCTTGACTGCCAGGGCTTTACTATCCCATGTCATGTACACGTACACACGACCAGTACATCAGTAGTAGTCCTAGTACCCATGTCTGTCTGGCTGACAATCTCCAGTGTGTGTCTAAATCCTGCCCTGATGTCAATCCTGTGCTCACTGACACACTTGTACTACCCCTATTACAACAGTGTTTGCTGTCAGCAAGGGCAGTTTTTGTAAATGTTGTTAATAGCTTTATTTTTTCAGTGATTGAACTAAGGATACATTATAATTAAAGAAAAGTTTTTATTGTGTTATACAAAATCAATACATACGATACTCTAAAATCATTGTCAATGGCAACTCATGTTTACAGCTTTACAAAAACTACTACTACTTACTCCCTTATGTTTCATATATGCTAATTTATTATATCTTTTAAGAACAGTATTTATTTAAACATCACAATATTTTCTATTCAAAGCAGGTAAGGTTGTTTTTTTTTTTTTATTGTTTTGTTTTTTTTAAACAAAACATTCTGATACACTCCAACCTGAAGACAGGTTAGTATGAATTTTTGCCTGAGAGAATCAGTACATCAGTGAATCAGTTGCTGTTATCTATTACTAGTGGCTAATTGGAGCTTCTCTCACCTGATTTTTAGAAAGTGGATACTCAAAGGACACCTTTTGTTTGTTTGTTTTCTTTTTGAAGTTAGTCTGAATCTGTAAAAGTAATGACTATAGGAGAAAAAAAAATACAGTAGTTACCACAGTAAATGTGCATTGTCAAATACATAAATTCCCTAACTATAACTGTGACTGCTTTTGTACTTGTGTAAAGACAAACGAGTAACTCCCATTACAGAAGGAAACAAGGGGAAATTACCTCCTGAGAACACAGACCCAACACCAACAAGGGGTTCACACACACCCTGATAATGGTTGCTGAATTAAAGAGTTTGTAATTAGTAATACATTCCCTTCTAATGCAATTAGCAATACAATTAGCCTATTTAAATTTCTTAATTTTGATTGATTTTTGTTTCCTCATATGTAATGCCATCTAGCTGCATCCTATCATAAGAGGAATGCATGCTCTTATGCATAAACTGACAGGCAATCATTGGGATCAAATTAATCTGAAAAAAAGTCAAATGGGAATACTCTCTTGCCTCCTGTTACTGTAATTCCATTTGAATCTCAACATGAATTTCCCATTCAATTGTAAGTGGGATGAAGCTGAGATAAGAGCTTAGGCTGAGCCACAGCCTAGCTGTCCCTGAGGCAAAGTGCCTCAGAGGTTAACACCATGGGTTTAGCATGCACATGTAAATGTGGACAGATAACTCAAACAGTTAAAGTGGCTGTAGATAAACCTCACCTGATTTACGTTGTTCAGGTGGATATTTATTTCTAGATTAATGTAAGTATTTAGTTTTACTTGCACTTGGATGTTTTACATTAGATTGGTCCCTGAACTAATATGTACCACTGTCCAATAACAGGCTGCTATAGCTTGTGCTTTTTAGGTACAGTACATGTTATGTTTTATTTTTTCTATAATTATAATATTTATGTAGTGACCTTTTGATGTTAACTTTCACATTTTAATAGAAGACCAAAGGTTACCCTGTGGGCATTAAGATCACTTTTGAGTCTGTATGTATGTTTATGTTGTAGAATGCCAATATAACTTTGTGGCTAGGGGACCAAAAAGGTATCCTAAAGGTACCGAAAACAAACAAAAAAAAATGACAAAAACAAACATGAGGCCTTGTTATATCCTGTGGGAGGTTTACTGTATTTGTCTTCGTGTGAGCTGTCTTTTCCTAAGCATTTAGACCTTGTGTTTAAAGACCTTAATAGAGTGTGATCTTTTCTATTTTCTCTCTCAGGCTCGGAACTCCTACTCCAACGAGGTGGTGGCCATCAAAAAGATGTCCTATAATGGCAAGCAGACTACTGAAGTAAGAAAATATACATGCTGGAAAATGTAGACATGGCACATACAATGTGAATGCTCCAGTTTTAGATGATTTTATCTGTGGAACCATATCAGAAGGACCAAAAAAAGAAAAACCTCAAGTGAGCATTTGGTTAGGTTTGGACAGATAACCTTTTTTTTTTTTTTTTTCTATGATGTGGGAGGTATAGCTCAGAATGCAAAAAGCAGCATTACATCATTTTCTGCTACTTCACACAGCTTGATGCTATGCTTGTGAAGTTGTGAGATGTCTCATGTGGTGGTTAGTTACTCTGAAGGAACAGAAATAATGTGAAAATAATGGAAGATAATTGCCCACACCAGATGCAAAGCTTGGAACAAACACGTGTCTACCTCAAGAAAACTGCTGGAAATGTTTAGGCAGAAGCATATTTCAGAAGGCATCCTATGGGATCACAGCTTGTACTTCGGCTGAACTCAAGCCCACATCTCAGTGGTTTAGTCAACTTGTATCTTTTTATAAAACAGTGAGTGATGGTTTGGTGTGAGGGCACTTGCAAGCTATTGTCCAACTTTTCCATACTAGTTGAAGTGGAGCCAGCTTTCAGTTTGTTTATTATTTATATTGGTGCAGTGCCTTTTAAAGAAAACCTTTCTGTCAATAGACAATAGCGAGAGAGATACAGATGTAAAATATCTGTCACTGGTTAATGCATTGTATTTAAAGTCTTAGTTAAGTGTTAGTTTAATAGTACCTAAAGGCTGGAATCATTCTTTCCTTTTGCAGAAGTGGCAGGACATCATTAAGGAAGTCAAGTTTTTGGGACAGCTGCGACACCCAAACACAATTGAGTACAAAGGCTGCTACTTGAAAGACAACACTGCCTGGGTTTGTAGATCCTTTTCTACATCCTCTTTTTTTTTTTTTGTTCAAGTTCCTCATTTTTTTTTTTTAGTCTGGCAGGATACTTGATTTATCTTTCTCTCTTCTGCTCTCTCTCATTCTTTACTTACATTCTTTTGTTTTCATGTCCTGCTCGGTATGTTTTCCTACTGTGTACTTATGTTTCTTTGTGTACACTGATCAGCCACAACATCAAAACCGCCTACAGTGCACTGCCAAATCAACTCTGTCCCATTGGGGCTTCTGGTGTCTGTCATAAGAACATTGGCTGCTGATTGCTGGGTGGTGCTCCTGCGGGTTGTGCCTGCTCTGGTAGATCCCACTGATGTTTGACCAGTTTTGAATCTGCAGAGTTTAGAGGCTAGGGCTTGAGCTATTTCTACACACTGTCCTGTTACGCAAGACCTCTGCCATCAAGATAATAAGTGTTAGTCACTTTACTTTTCTGTTTGATTTTAATGTTGTGGCTAACTGTTGTACGCCCACTTCCTCGACATTCTTTAGACTAGGGCTTTTCACAAACTTGACTTAAAGCTTTAATTAAAATTTATGACGGTGCTCATTCCATGTGAGTGATTAGTTTCCATTTTATTTGAGGTTTAACTATTTTCTCTTTCAGCTGGTGATGGAGTACTGTCTGGGCTCTGCATCAGATTTACTGGAGGGTATGTTTATCAGTGTTTGATATGCCAATACATTGAGATATTTCATAATTTTATAATGGCTTTTTTGTCAGTAACAGGGTGGAAGTGTTAACATTTTTTTTTTCCAGGAAGTCACTCCTGAAACTTTTGTAAACCCCAAACTTGTCAAAACAAAACTAATGAAAAGTAACTTTGGTCTTTTAGCTTGGTTGTGCACTGTAAAGTATGTCCTTTAGCTAATTTAAGCTGTTTTAGGAGCAGAAGTAGGCTATGACTGCTTGACCTTATTGAGGATTTTTTTTTTTTTTTTGGACTACCAAAAAATAAGGAACTGCCTGCTATCAGATAACTGCAGTTATCTTTAAAAACTTGTAAAACCTCATGTTCTCCAATTTTCTGTGATTATTTGGTTCATTTTGTGGGCCTAACTAAATATTTTCTGTGATTGTATGCTTAGGGGCACTCTCCCCATTTGCGTCCTTGGATACTGGAGCAAGATAATGTAATGTAAATGTGTAATCTGCTGTAATAGTACTACATTTTAAACCACTGTTTATCGCAGATGGAAAACATATTTGTTTCTTAGATTTCAGCGCCTGGCAAAAAATATCTATATCACTTTTAAGAGCTTGAATTCCCTGAACTCCCCATCCTCTAACCACTCTTGAAGCTACTGACTTATTTTAAACACCCAAATACTCACTACTGACAGAGTACACAGTTGTGACAGTTGTTCCCAGACTGTTTTGGGGAGTTTAGCCTTTATATAAAAATTCTCAGTCGTAGTTCTGCAGTGACCTTTTGCCTTGGCACAATTTTTAGAACAGCAGGACTCAGGGTGCCAGCTTAGGAAACTCAACTGTTTACTGGGATTACTTTATTACTGCAGTGTGTGGACAGATCAGTACAGTTGGTCTTAATTATTAAAGCCATGATACTGTGCTTTCCAGAGCTGAGCACATGAAGTCTGCACTTCCACAATCTTGGATAGAAATAACTATTTGAATCATTCATGTTATTTCCGCTCAATCCATTCATTGTACTTATTTCTTCCATAGTTCATAAAAAACCACTCCAAGAAATGGAAATTGCTGCCATTACCCATGGTGCCTTGCTAGGACTGGCTTACCTACATTCCCATAATATGATTCACAGGTGAGTCTATTTCTTTCCTTGCTTACAGGCAACATAGAGTGAAAACATGGAACATGATAACAGACAGTTACGTTCTTCATTTATTGCAGTGTTTACGAATTAAGTTGTAAAACATCATGTCTATACTTACTCACTCTTGGACATCACCTTCCCACCTTATTGCTGTACACAGTTGTATCTTTTAAGGTGGGAAGATATGATTGGCATCCAACAACCACATCAAATAAATCCGTTTTACTGTTCTGTATCATTTTAAGTTTCAAAGGGCATAGATTTAAAATGTCAAATCAAACATGACATCTTTAAATACCCAACTATGTTGTGTTGGTCAAAAGTGAATAAAAACTGGACTGGCTCATTGGAGGTAGGACTAACTTGGCACATATCAGTCACCTGGCACATATGCATAATATAAAAGTGGAGCTAATGTGACTTTTTCTCTTTTCTGTCTTTGCTGTCTTCCTGCTCTTTTCCCTTATCCAGAGATGTGAAAGCTGGTAATATCCTGCTGACTGAGCTGGGTCAAGTCAAACTGGCTGACTTTGGCTCCGCCTCCATTGCCTCACCTGCCAACTCCTTTGTGGGCACACCTTACTGGTCAGTACACACAAGACAAACATGGAACCTCATCTTCAGAGAAGAGAAGATTAAGTTTCTTCTTTATCTTGCACATGTTCGGTACAAATGAGCTATTTTATGTCTTTTTTTTTTCTTTTTTTCTGCCAATTTTATTTAGACATTGTTGTTGGCAGATGTTTGTTGTTCTAGAGTCATGCACCTAGATAGACACATAAACGTGAAAGCAGTTTAATATGTGGGTTATATGCCTAAACAAGCATATAGCAGTTCTCATAAAATCCATGAGAAAGTTTATTCATTACATTGGAAGCAGTGACTAACATGACTAACATGCTGCATCTGCAACATGTTAGTCATTATTAATTCAGTTTGAGAAAGAACTGACAAGATTTTTTTTAATTCATATTAATAGTTTTCCGCAATTGGCTTTCAATTGTTTATGCACTAAAATAAAATATTCACTCACATATTCACAGCAGCTTTAATGGTAAACAAAGGCATCCCATATACTGGTGGACTAGTAGTCATGCATACGAAAAATTGTCACACAAGTATAGAAACATATATTCCAAAAACTAAGCTGCTATCACAGCATACCAGAGTCTTTAAAAACTCTGAGAAGCTTAGAAGATTATAACATTTTCATGGATTTTTTCCATACTTGATAAAGTGTGTGCATACGCGTGTGTCTGCCTTTGTATTCAGGATGGCCCCAGAAGTGATCCTAGCCATGGACGAGGGCCAGTATGAAGGAAAAGTGGACATCTGGTCACTGGGGATCACTTGTATTGAACTGGGTGAGCAAACACCTACCCAGTGGTCAAATAATACATTTATTGGCTCAGACTGAAATTCAGCAGACTTAAGCCGATTAAAAGTTATTTGTTTGTACTACTTATTTTTTAGACTTCAGCTTCTCCCTCATTCAAGGAGAAGCTGATGCGAAAATGTGCACACTGTATATATTATTCTCACATCCTTTCTCATTTTAGCGGAACGTAAACCACCCTTGTTCAACATGAATGCCATGAGTGCCTTATATCACATTGCCCAGAACGACTCTCCCACACTGCAGTCCAATGAGTGGTAAGTTTTAGCACCTTGATGTTACAAAATTACCATACACCCAAAAAAATCCAGTATAACCACTGATATAATGCATCCAGTCAACCGTGAACATTAAAGTCCATTCTAGTCAGGGTTCAGCCAGAGTAAGACATCCCTGTGTTAATCTGCATGACCTGTGATCCCTGCGACAGGCCATGTGCAAGGGCACACTCTAAGTCTCTTATGTAATTACCTGGGAAACAGCTACCAAAGAAACACACTGCAGCTAACCACACCATTTCTGCTGAGCTTTGAGGCAGCATCTAAACAAAACAGCACGATTATTCTCCTGCTTTTCCAAGTAATTTAACTCACACTTTAAGCTTGCCATACTAACATACAAATATATTCCTCCATGCACGTATGAGGTGTTCTAAATATGGGAAAACAGCTTGCTTTATGCATTATTATATGCAGCTTTCAGCCTCACAGCTCATGACTGCAGAAGCTAATAGATTCTCTAGGGAATGTCCTTCCAGACATCAAAAAAAATTTAGCAATTTAATTTAGGCCAGCAGGTTTTAAACAGCTCTTTGCTGTCTCTTTGTATCACCAATATATCCCACATTGTCAGACAAGACCAGCGGAGCTGCTAGATATTGTCATGAAATGTTTATGTCATCTAAAAAACTGAGAAACAGCATTTAAAACTGATATGCTTTTTTGTAAATTCAAGAAAAAAGCTTGAATGAATTACTGTTTAACAACAAATCTCATCATAAAAGGTATACATTTTTTTTATCTGGAGGACTATAAGAAGTGAAATCATTTATTCAATATACAGTTGGCTTAGTTAGTAGAATAATCCAAGCACTCTGCATAAGCCACCATAGCTTAGCTTTTTATGTTTTTTATTCTCAGTTAATGAATAAATGCTATATAAGCTATATAATATTTTTATATCTTTATATTTATTGTATGAACAATGGGCTCAGTATTAGCTAGCACAATCTTGGTAGTAAAGGAATAATTTGGGAACAGAAGAAAAGCGGATACATATTCAGCAGCATGTATGAACTGAGAACTAGGTGATCTCAATTAGCAAAAAATGCAAGACACGGGCAGGAATTTAGCAACGGAACAAATATGCTACTGCTCCTCTGAGTTGCTGTAACCACAGCATGTGTGGTATGATTGTCCTTGGGGAAACGGCACTCATCAAATATTAACCCTGTGCTTGATGTTCTCCCTGTAATTTACTCCTGTGTACTTCTGCCATGCTGTGACTGCCATGGTATGCATGTGATGTCCTAGGTATGCAGTGTCGTGCAGGAGTTCCTTGTAATATGTTGTAAAAATTTGTCTCTGTCACACAGCTCCTCAGGAGTAGCTGAATGCAACCGTTTACCTGCCTCATACTGTAGAACATGTGCATCAGTTCCACACAAGCGTTCATTAAATAACAACCTTTCTTTTTAAACCTTTAAGTAGGCACGAGTATTGTGAGCAGGTCATGAGAAACGTGAGGCAAGGCAGTTCTTTAAAGTTAAAACTTGCTGCCTATGACATCTGTTGTAAAATTAGTGTTGATTTCTAGTGCTTTAGGTGAGCGATTGTGTGGGACAGCACAGGGTTGTGGTATTTTTGGAGGAGCTCCAGGGGCCCGAGGCATTAGCAACATCCAGATGAGACAAGTAGAGACATTGGCTTCATACACAAACATAAGGCCAGACTGTGAACACATTCACATGACCTACAAGACTAGGCATGGATCTTTGCTAGCAACTGAGAGAGAAGTAGAGGTTGAGGGAGATCTCAGTCGTATACCCTCAGTGTGTATTTTAATAAACCTAAAGAACATTCCAGTCTATTTTATCTTAACAACTCATAACAGCAAACAAAACATATGGTGGTATATCTACCGTGCTAGATTACCATGATTAGATATTTAGACCACAGCTCCACTGGCCCATATTTTTATTGCTCCACATATTTACATAATCCATATATAGTTCCCATTCGGGGCTACACTAAGAGATTATGCAAGATTGTTCTACTTAAGTCACTGATATATTAAACACCAAAGAGCTGTGGATTGCTCCTCCTTGTACATTAGTCATTAATTGCCAAAAAGGACAGATGGCATGGCTTTTTAGCTTGTCACTGTCATTTCTACTTAAAATTTTTCTAATTTTAAAAATATTAGTCCAAGAAGGACTATGACTGACTTCTTTCTCACTGTCCTCTTTACCTAGGTCTGACCTCTTTCGCAGCTTTGTTGACTATTGCCTGCTGAAAATTCCTCAGGACAGACCCTCGTCGGGGGAGCTGCTACGAGTGAGTGGGTTTCCTCAGTAATCTTTCTAGCTGTGACCTCACTTCCTGTCTCAGTCAGTCATGAGGATGAGTCACTCCCATCCACCCACGGCTCCCTAATACGCAAGCATATATACACTGTCTTCTTCAAGCACAGGAATCAAGCATCCTACTGAGATTGTTTTTTTTTTTATTCCCCCCGTTGCCTCACAGCCAAGGGATAAGACACAGGAAGACAATTGAGCTCCACAGAGCTGCATCTCATTACTTTTATTGTTGCGACATTTTATACGGTGGAATAAAATGAGTAGAAAGACAAAGAAAATAAATTTATTGTGTTGGACATAAATAATTGCATTTGAGTACTGATGATGTGGAACCGCAACGGTTGTTTTACCTTAAAACTCATATATAATATAACTCATCTAACCCCTTAAAACGCAAAATGTTACTGTTGTCAAACACAGATAAAATAATCTCGTAAAACTTAACGCTTAAACCTGCAAGTTGTTGGTTTTTTTTTTGTTTTTTTTTTTAAAGCCATCCTGCCAGTGACAGCCCATATGTATCTCCAAAACCACAATGAGCATACACGCTGATAATCCATGCATGTCCATTGTGTTTCCCTGTGATTGAGGAGATGATCTTTTTGTTTGTGTGACCAACAGGTAATCCTATTGGTGCACTAAGAGTTTTAAGTTCTTGGTGATCACGCTCAGTGGTGTTGAAGCCCAAGCAGGACTTTTCACACCTGTCTCACTTTATGGAGGAAGGTGTGAGGTTAGGAAGTGGTTAACTAAAGGGATCTGGACTGTTGTCTGGATAGGATGGGGCTTTTGACTGGAATGCACTCTTCCAAGCACCCCTGACCCAAATCCTTACTGAAAAAACCATTAAAGAGGGATAAGTACCAAACAGACTTTGGATCAGTGTCCAAGGGCCTGCTTTATAGTGAAGGGCTTGGGGGTTGGGGTGTTAGTTTATGATTAATACCCCACTTTCCCTTCTGAGACACACACAAATTTACTCTTCATTTTAGTGCAAGCACACACACATAGACACACACACAGGCACATGCCCCTCCAAGCGCTTTAAAGGGAAAATCAGGTCACTAATCTGTGGGCCTTGAGCTACTAGTGTACTGGCTTCAGGTTAAATTCACTCTCTGTCCTTTAAAACCTCATTCAGAATAATGGTAATTACGAAAAATAAAAGAGTAACCATTCAGTGGCCTCAACCCCCCGTAAGTACACTTCGTTTAAACGAACATATTCACTTGAATAATTGAAACTAACTCTGAGTTTCTCAGCTGTATAAATTTACTTACTAACCACAGATATTTACAGCACAACAGCAACTTCCCAGAGCATGAAAGGAAGTGTTCAAATTTAATTTTGTGTTTGACTAATCATCTAAAACTAATAGCATAATTGAGTTGCCTTATTTTACAAGAAAAATCAGTTCAGTGGATGGAATCATCTAAATGTTTGCTTTTTTGAATTCATGATTTCAATAACCGATTTATGAATGAGTGTTTTGTGATTGTTTTCAATGCAATATGTAGTTTAGACTAAGCAGGAAATGATAAGGTTTGCAAAGATGATGTGTTGCGCGTAGCTGGTTAGACTACTTAGTCTACTAATTCTCACTTTGCCCAACTTGCAAAATTCCACTAACCTCAACCTGTTTTATCTTTTGTATGTGAAACAACATACAATATGATGTGTTCATGAAGTGTTTAATATTTTCAGAATTCCCTTTGTTTCCTGTTATTATGCTAAAATTTAACTAAATGACTAATTGCTTCATCCATATACTTTCCTGCAAATATGAGATTTTTACTAGTGCGCTCATCTAATTATTTTCAAGAAAGCCAAAAAATTATAATCTCCCCAAAAATGTTGAACTATTATTTAAATACATCCAACATATTAGCCTTTTCCTTTAGTGGCTATTATTGCTATCAGTGTAGTAGATGTGGACTGGTCTAAAGTAGTAACGGTAGCCTGAAAAGTTAGTAATAGTATGTGTCAAAAACAAATTTATCCTAAAAGAACAGGCTAAAACTGAGTATGGATGAGTACTTCTGGTAGAAGGCAATAGTGATGCCACAATACATATACCAGACAAGACTCCAGGTGCTGTAGATTTGCTGTCACTTCTTCTTTACACTAACCTCATAATGAGGAGGAATCCTTGAGATAACTTCACTGGATGATGGGATGGGGGTGGCCAACCACCCACATTCTGCTGTAGGTCAATCAGAAAATGGGACAAATCACTTTCATCTCTATTTTCAGTGTGTGATGTCATTCCTCTGTGTCCTGACTAACCCATTACACCGGCATCTGTCACATGGAGAGGAAGGTGTGCAGAGAGTGATGGCTAAAAATACACCTAAATATATGTATTTTTTTTCATGCAGAATATAATATTTTAGTCACGTACCTTTAGGTTGAATACATTTTAGCCTTTTATGCAGCCAATATTTTATGAATGACACTGACTAAGAGGAGGTGTGAACATGTTTGTGTGTTGTAGTGGGAGGAAGTGCTGGGCAGAAATATCTGTTCTGTTTTTGTTTTGCTTTTTTAATTCTTTTTTTTGACACCCCTAAATTGTTTGTCAAAACAAAAACAAACAAATGAAAAAAACACAAATTAAAAATAGCCATCCACTATCACTCGACCCCCACCTTCTCTCCCACAACCCACCAATCCCACTCTGACCCGTTGGTTATTCATTGAATAATTACATAAATGCACAATGTCCCAACCTCCACCAAATTGCACCTACATTAGATTACAGAGGTTCATCTCACTTGCACAGGACAGACTTAGCAATGATAATCACCTAAATGATCTCCATAGAAGTGTGAAACCATTATATCATTCACTGATCATATTTTTAAAAGGAAGTCTGACCTTTCACATATTTTTTTTTTTTTTCTTCTGGAAGGATTTTTCTTTCTTTTAGTAAATAACAAGGTCCAATTTGCTTTGCTATGCCCTGATAGAAGAAACTCTTAAGTATGTTTGTTTTTCCTCCACAGAGGTTAATGTGTGTGGCTCATTCTAATAAAAATAAATAAATAAATAAAAAAAAAAGCACAAAAGCAAAGGATACAGATTAAATGACTAAAATCTCTCAATTATCAATGCTTAGTGGGATTTTTGTTATATGACCTGATTTAATTAAAGTTCTCATTAACTTGGTGCAAGGCCAAATGCATTTCAAACAGTATTTATTGAAATGACAAGGATTAGGAGTATTTATAAAAATCGATTATATGGACCTTCTCAGAGACTGTAGTAGAGCGTATTGAGTGCTGGGACCAGAATGGGTTGAACAACCTACAGGCGCCCTCTAGTGATTGCCAGAGTTGTGGTGCTCATTGAAATAAAATTTTAGACATGTTTAAATGACTTCCAAATATTTACGAACAACTTTAAAAGATCTGTAAATGGTGCCAATGTTTAAGATAATGCAAAAGAAAGTAGTTAATATATAAAATTTTCATCTTCATTCCGGTTCAGCTTATTTTATTTCCCTTATAAATGTTTACTGCCAATATTGTAAGTAGTCTGAGGCAATACTTTCTGAATTTCTATTGAAAAACTGGGAAGAAAACATCCATAATGTTCAGTTTAAATTAAACTGTATGACATGAAGACAGCAATTGAAATGCAAATAAAAAAGATAACCCTAATAGAAAGATTAGCTTTCGTTTCTAAACCCAGTATTTTCCTCCTTGTATGGTAATAAAGTCTGACTAGAACCTTGAACGAAGTAACTGACTGTCTGTCTTTTTCTCTTCAGCATGATTTTGTACGTCGGGAACGCTCGCCACGCATTCTCATTGACCTCATCCAGAGGACCAAGGATGCAGTGCGTGAGCTCGACAATCTGCAGTACCGCAAGATGAAAAAGATCCTATACCAGGAGAAACACAACGGGCCCATGGGAGAGAGCCAGGAGGAGGAGGAGGTGGGAGGAAGAAAAAAAAAAAAGGGAGAAGGGAGGTTAATGGGCAAACAGTTAATGCATCAAACTTAAATATTAAACAGACAAATGAATGTTAAAAAAGAAAAAAAACTCTGCAGAGTGCATAATCACAGGGAGTGGCACCAGAAACAGTTCTTCAATTCTTAACAATAGTTAATATGAAGATGAAAAATTGCATATATGTAGCCACAGTCTTTAAGTAGCAGAGTTGCACTAAAATGAGGTTTGGATTCAGTTAATCTGCAGAGTATTTTCACAAAGTAATTGAAATAATTATTATATTTAAAATTTCCATCACCACTACATAAAATAAGTGCTTGTACTTGACACCAATGATAGAGTTTAAGCTCTTTATTTCACACAGTTCTCTATCTGTAGGCCAACAGATGATTTCAGTTATCTGCATCCTCAGGATGACACTTAAGTCTCAGAGATGGTGACTCCACACTAGTCAGTACTGCTTCAGCACTTTAAAATCACAACAAATGGGAGTCTTTCTCATGCAGTCTTGGTAGCCTGAGATGAAGTGTCCCTTAGCTGACCTGGCCTGAAGTAAAGTGAACAGTTATGGACAGCTCGTAGCGACAGTAATGTCATCCTACACCATGTGACACAATTCACAGCAGCCACCAGACCTTAGTGCAACAAGACACTGCTGAAAGCCTTACCCTGAAAAACCTGCTGTACCAATCCTTGTTTTATGTGGAAAGACTGAGTAAATACCCTGTCTTGTTGCTTTAGACCTAAGTGAATTGGCTTTTGCTTCTAAAAGCTACACAGTTTCATCCCGTATCTGTCTTGTACACCTTCAAGTTGACTTGTAATCTGAAGACCTCTGTCTGACCACTGTCCATTAACATAAGCTCAGACGCTACTGAATGACTCAGACACACACATCTTAACAATTAGAGGTTAATAGGCAATTTAGCATGATTTTGACTCTAATGCAATCTATAGGGCATCAGTGATCCCCCCCCTCCCCCCTTTGTATTGAGGCAACTCCATTTAATGGTACAGTTTGAAGAAAGTCTGGGTATAATTGGGCGAAGGTCACGGGTGACTTTTGTATATTTCAGTAGCATGTTCCTTGAGTGTTTGTGTACATTTGTGTTTCTGAACATGTGTATATGTTGTGCGCACTTGCAGGACAGCGAGGCAGCCAGCTGTAAGATGAACAGCCTGGGCAGCAACCACTCTATTCCCAGCACCTCGGTCAGCACGGGTAGCCAGAGCAGCAGCGTGAATAGCATGCAGGAGGTGTTGGATGACAGCTGCTCTGATATGACCATGATGCATCCCCAAGACTACAGCAGCACCCTGGACTCCTCCCCACACACCAAGAAGGTAAAAATTAAGGGTGAAGACGGGATGGTGATTAAGGCTGAAAGTTTGAAACCACTATTGGGAGTTCTTATTGTTCCCAAAGCCTTTTAACTGAGCATCAGCCATCACTCAAACAGTGTTAATCTCATTTTTTTTTAACTAAATACAATTTAAAATATTAATTAATTAAAAAATATATAAAACTGGAGACAGTTTTGTGACAGCCAGAGACTATGAAATAATTAAAGAATAATTTCAACAACTACTTGCAACAACCGTCCAAACAACCACTGAAATACTGAGTTTATCTAAGACCAGCTACTGCAGTGACAACGAGAGGGTGTGAACGATACTCGATTCATATATATAACCAAGTGGGAAATATGTAGTGCAAGTTGGTGCCGTGTACAAACAGACCCTGAAATGTGCCATGGCAACCAGTTGTCGACTACAAAGTGTTCATCACTTTAAATCTAGATGGAGAAATAAATTCTTTCTAGAAATAAGTGTTACAACTTGACAGCCATCTTGGAATTGATTAGGGGGTTATCTTGAGGCCCCTATTTAAATGAGTAGAAAGAGAGCCATGGCTTTCATTTCAGTGGTCACCGAGATATAAAAAAGAAAATCTATAGCATCACCATCAATTTAATTTAAAAATAAATAAATAAAAAGTTAAAACTTTTGGAAACTTGCTATCATTCTAGCTTATTTTAGCTAAAGTTTTCTTTAATCTACAAGTTAGTTTTTTTTATTTCATGGATTTTGGGGGCAAGGGTAACAAAACTGCAACATTTAGTTTTAGAGACATGTCTCTTCCTTCTACAATATCTCTTGCGTAAGTCATTGATACCTGTACAGTACTTCAGAGTTATTGTTTTACTGCTACAAAACAAAGAAGATTATAAAGTCTGAGAAATCCAAGTCACAACAAAGGTCAAATCAGATTTGTAGTCTGTTTTCTGAGATGCCCCACTGAAATAGAGACAAAAAAGTCAAGCCAAGTGGAATTAAGCACAAGGACAACTTTGTACCTAACATTTTTCCTGTCTTTTGAAATGGTATTAGTAAACAGTCTTAAAAACTTTTCCCAGAGTTCAGTGCATGGAAGAAGAAACAAAGACAGGAATCGTAATCAACAAATGCCATGTTACTGGTTGACTCACTTCTTTTCTGGGTTGATAACTGTCTCACTTTTAACAAATGAAAAGGAAACATGGCTCTGTGCAAACATCCTTTGGTGTCTCGCACCGTTCAAGAGTATGCATAAACCCCTCCCCCCAAAACCATGGAAACCATTGACAGTCCTCACTGTTTGCAGACTGCTTCAAGTTCATCACTGACACCGTTCACGCTTTGAGAACAAAGGCCGTGTATACATGTGAACTAGCAGCAGCGCAAATTCCCCTTGCACATGTGGCATCCTGTGTATACACACACACACACACACACACACACACACACAGGTCAATACAGTGCTTTACGTTTGCATTGGAAATCAACTCTGTGAAGAGAGGGCTGTCACTTCTGTCATTCTCTTTCTTCATTTGCTCTTTGTATTTTGACAGAGCTTGAATAAGGTTGTCACTTTATGAACAGACAACCAGTGTGCTGTTACAAGTTCAGGGGCTGTGATGAGAACAATTAAAAATGACACACATTGTTTTCTGATGGCGGTGAATTTCCCTCCACGCATAAAAGCACTCGTTGGTCCCTGGGCCTCCCTGCATGTTTGTCAGTCAGATTTTATTGGGGGTGCTGGGTGTTGATGTTTCATCATGACATGCAAGCTTACAGTTGACACAGTTTTATCAAATGATGAAGAATCTTTGTGAAGTGTAGAAGTTGTATGGGTTAAATCAGTGGGGAGTATTTCTTTTGTAAGTCACAGAATTATGGTGACGAATTTCAATACTGGCACAGTTTTAATAAGTTAAAAAAAAAAAAAAGTTGAGTGCCCTGCAGTGCAGCATAGTTTACACTATCATTTTTTTTTTAACTTTGATCACTTGGTTGTTATTTATTCTGTTTTCTTTTAGTATTTACCAGTCCTAAATTTCTCTCCTTTGTTTTCAAACAGGACCATCAATACAACTGGGACGACGGGATCCACAGGGACCATCGGCCAGAGCCGACGCCAGCTTCCTTTGATAAGAGCAGCCAGGCTCAAAACTACAAAAACCAGGGCCGCTTTGCCACCATTAAGTCTGCCTCACTGGTAAGAACCTAAAACTTTCTTCTTTCTATTGGTGTTTTCTTTTCAAGGTCCTAAAGCATGTTTTCTGCATGCTGTAAATGTTTCAGTGTCATTAATTTGTTCTACTTATTTGACTTAAAAGTTGCGCTGTTTGGAAGGCCAAACAAATTTAAAAAAAATTATTTCTTGAAGAAGCTCAAATCTCTGTTTCATGTTCACACCACAGCACTATGAGGGCATTAAAGGGCATTTTTTTGTTTGTCTTTGTTAAAAAGCTTACTGTGAATGTGGTGCGTGAATGACCCCAGTCTCAGTGGGTGTAATGCTATTGTATGTCTCCATGTTTAGATGTTTTTGAAATATTTATTTCCCATCTTTTGGTCTTCACTTTGTTTGGATCGTTGTCTACTATATTATTTCTCTGCTGTTTTTTCCATTCATTCACCCCACTCCTTTTGTTTTCTCCTCTTGTACTACGCCTCGCATTACCACTCCCATCCTCCCACCCTCTCCTTTATTTCTTCCTGGCCTCCATTTGATAATACATCATTCTCAGATCTGACTCAATATTCTATGTTGAAGGGGTGGAATACTCTCTCTCTCTCCCTCGCTCTCTCTTTTTCTCTCTCTTGCGCTTTCTTTCTTTCTATGACTCTCTTTCTCTCTCCCTCCCTGTCTGTTGTCATGGAAACCGGCTCTAGTAACTAGAAAGTAGTTGTGATGGTGTGTGTGTGTGTGTGTGTGTGTGTGTGTGTGTGTGTGTGTGTGTGTGTCTGTGTGTGTGGTGTGTTGGGTGTGTGTGTGTGTGTGTGTGTTGTGTGTGTGTGTGTTACCTGCCTGGTAATTGTAGTCCCTCTGCTGCCAGGTCTTAAACCAGAAATCTTGTCACATACAAGAGAATGTAAGCAAAGAAGTGTGTGTGTTTGTGTTTGTGTGCACAAGAAACTGTGTGTCCTCATATTGTCCTTGAAGAGAGCACGAACCAGTGACCGTCCGATGCTGTGTGCGTTTTCTGTTGACCGCAACCGTAGTTCCCCGGCACTGAAGGTTACATGATTTTGTTTTTGATTTTTTTTTCTATGTCATATGTTTATGGGCTCTGTTGATTTGCAGATGATTAACAGATGATAATGATACATGGTATATGTAAGACTGCAGTTGGGAACTGTAGTTTGAAAACCCTCACGCATAACTGTGAACTGATGTAGTCTTCCGACTGCTGCTGACCATGGATCGCAGTATGTGGGTGACGTTTCAGCCTAGGAAAAATGCATCATCAACTGTTTAGGTCTGCTGTTTTTACCTTTTTAAAACCAAAGAGTTGGTTGGGAAGAGTTATTGTCACTTTCACAGCATTGGAAAGTAGTTTCTTGCAAAACCGTAGGTCAATCTATTCTTGTTGAGGTTTTTTGTTTTGTTTTTTTAGTACACACATTATGCAGAAAATTAGGAGCAAGTAATATTTTGATTTGTAACTAATGTGATTTCTGAATTTAGGAAACCCCTACAGTACTGCATTAGAAGGAAATATAACAATGTGATTTACAAACTGATCATGACTTGCTTAATATCATTCAATCACATATAATTAAAAAAATAAATAAATAAATAAAAAAACACTTTTTAAAGTCCTCCCTTTATGGCACTTAGGGAAAGAAGTTGATGTATACATAAACAACCTCACATGTTCTCCCACTGACATGAAAGATTACAGTGGCAATAAGCCTGCTGTTTTTTTTACCTCCTCACAAGATGATGAGATGCCTTTTTCATCAGAAAACAGGGATTGTGGAGTTTATAGATATTTGTTCTTAGCCACAAAAGATGGAAAATTGTATCCTGGATCATTTTCTCACTTTACCATAAAACGGAAAAAAAGTATTCCTTCCTCACCTTAACTCTTTGTTAATTGTTTTTCTACCATTTATCCTTTAAAGAAACACTTCTAATCATACTTGAAAATACTTTTGATCTAATGCATATTGCGGTGGATTAAACTTATAGATAATGGCAGCTGAGATTACACATTGTGTAACTGAAAAAAGGCAGCCTCTCTGTAGTGTAACAGTGCCGGTCCTGCCCACCGGCACTGGAAGAGATTACATCATCTTTTTCTTCCAAGCACAGACATCCTCACATTGGCCTCGACTCACTGAGACTGGAAGCAGGTAGACAAAGAGGGAGAGGTAGGACAGTATGGGGGGGTCCAGATGGCAAGGGGTAATTGATAGCCAGATAGGAAGATGGAGAGCAACACAAGCGAGAAAACATAAACAATTAAGAATGGTTTAAATAGGGGGGAATTATTAGCTAAAATCAAAATAATTATAAACTATTATTTTATAAAGAAAAGTCATGGTGATTTGAGGGAAAAGGCAAGAGATTAAAGATTTAGTGAACTGAAAGAGAAAGTAAAGGCATCATAGAGGACACTGGCAGATATTGGGGAGATAAGAAGGGCAGAGAAAAGAATAGAAAAACAAAGGTGAGACTTAAGAGCAGTGCTGATTGAAATCTTAACTGACAAAAAAACCAAAGAACATCACATTTACTGGTGAAATGAAGTGTGGAGTCTGAATAAATGTAGCAGTGGGGAAACAAGAGAAGAAAGGGGTAAAACCAAAGACATGAGAGGTATTGTGGAAAAGGCATGAAAAGAGCAGGATGTAAAATTATCCAGGGACACGTGGAAAAAGGAAAAATGATGAGGGGACAGGAAAACTGGAAAGACATGGATGCAAAGTGAGAAGGTGAACGAATGTGAGACAGTGAGTGAGAGCGAGGGCAGGGGTTATTATAGGTTAGATGAAGCCACTGACTGACGTGTAAGCTGGTGTGAGAGACAACATTGTTGTAAAATATTTCACTTCATCTATTCTTTAGCTGCTGGTTGCAGTTTGTAACCTGACCGCATAAACGCTGATGGGAAATTAAAGTGTAGTGTAAGGCATATCAAAATGTGCTCCTCCCCCATCAGTTTTCTTGCAACTTGCAGAATTAAGGTTGTACTTGTTAACTTTCATGTTATGCAGTTATATATATTAAGATGTTTGTTCTTTACAGGTTTGTGTCAGAATTGAATAAGCTAGATGGACATCTTTTGCATTTGAGTCCTATTTTTTGTGATCAGACTTGAGAAGGGAGATCTCCTCACATTTGACAGGAAAAAGGCATGCTATACAAAGGTCTGAGGCCTTTTGCTTCCTCCTGTAAACCAGATGTCTTTGCTACATGCTACTATACATCTGCAGTAACATTCATACTACAACCATGCTTTTTCTATGTGGTACCTACCAGGGTTGAAATGTGTTTTCCTTAATGTAATAAGGAAGCGATAAAGAAGAATCATGGAGGTTTGACAAGGGGATAGTCTTCTTCTGTTAACTACCAGGAGCATTAATATTTACTTGGATTTCGGCGTTTTGAGGCTCTTGATATCGATGCAGGTCTGGCTCTTGCCCTCGATGTTGTGTTATCATAAAGTCACAATTGTGATATTGCATATTCACTGACGCTAAATGCCTTGCAAACACAGAGATCAAACTAAGTGGACTGTTGTAGTTAATTTATTGCAAACAAAAATGCATCAGTCACCACCAGCAATAATTCTATTTAAGTAGGCTTGCACGTTCACACAAGTTAAACTCTGTGAAGACGGATCATCTTGAACTGCAAAATAAGCAAAAATTAAAGTTTGGGCGCTTAATTCTCACTCACTCTAACATTCACCTTTAGCCTGCATGCCTTCCCTCCCTCCTCTCCCTGAATATGATCTCCTTTCCAGTCCCAAAGCCTTGTGTGAAAGAAGCCGTCACATGACTTGACTTGGCCCTTTGTGGCTGTATGCATGGTGGCAGCGAAGCAAGTGACTAGGATTGGGAGGTTCTATTACAGTAGAGGTATTGATTCAGAGCAGATTAAGGAGAAGGGGAGCTCAGCCTCCACATATTTCCACCCCATTTCCCCCCACCCTGTTTTTTTTTTTTTTTTTTTTTTCTTTCTCCATGTAGATGCTCTTATTTTACTGCTGATTATTTCTATTTTTCCTGTTTAACTCTCTCCCAGCCACTCTCCATCTGCTGTTTCTCCTTTGCAATCACCCTCCCTCCCCTCATCTCTCGGCCTGCTCCTCTCTAACACCCCCCTCCAACTTCTCTCAGTCTTTCTCAATGAGGTATTCATGTGACCCACCTGCTGTCCGCCGCTTAGCGTTAGCCTGACTAAAGAGCCGCTCTGTGCTCTTGTTGGCCCGCGGTGTCCAACTGCCTCATTCACAGTTCACACGTCTGCCTTGGCCGCTGCGTGCCCAGGGCGCGAACCAAGGAGAGGGAGGGGGCTCAACGTCCAGTAAAGTGTGTCGGGGGGGGGGGTCTCAGGGTGGCATCGGAGCTCAGGCAGGGTTCTGTCGGGCATAGGATGCTGCACAAGGTTCCTGGATGCTGGTGCACTTGGCTAAAGTTGCCATCATGTTTGGCCTGAGGAGTTCAGGTGGAAGTTATGAGAAGATGCGGAGCGAGTACTACCTAGATGTGGAGAACCCTTTTTGTCCTCAGGTTGGTGGGTCAGGTCAAGGTTTGGGTTAAAAGCAAGAATAAGTGAAAGTGTTCAGAAATACCAGTAAGGTCATTGCCTCAGGTTAAATTTAGTCATACAGTAGATGTTTATTGTCTTTACAGCATTTTTGTTTTCTTTCCCACGCTCTGACTTGAATACATTTGAGGAACTTTGAAGTCGGCTATTCTGTGCAGTGTCTGCGAATCTGAGATTGTCAGATGAAAGAGCTTTTGTTCAGCTGAAGTGGTGGATTTCAAATTATTTGCTTCTTGATGTCATTATTTTCATATCACATGTTGAAGATTCTTTCTTGTACATGTAAAACTAGCAAGTAATGTAGTCTGATTACAACAGGTCAACTGTTTTGTTTTGTAACGTTTTTGTTTGAGGTCCTTCTCGTAAATGAACCGAGATACTTTGATCATATCGAATTAATCAGTTAGGCATTACTGTTTGGGTGTTTTTTTTTTTTGTTTTTTTTTGTTTTTTTTTTTGTGAAGTAATTTGATTTGCATCTTCTAACTTTTCTCTCACCACAGGTGACCAAACAGATTCATGAGCATGAGCAGGAAAGTGAGCTGCGAGAACAGATGTCCGGCTACAAGCGCATGCGGCGGCAGCACCAGAAGCAGCTGATCGCCCTGGAGAACAAGCTAAAGGCCGAGATGGATGAGCATCGGCTCAAGCTGCAGAAAGAGGTGGAGACGCAGGCCAACAACGCCTACATTGAACTGGAGAAGCTGGCAAAACGGCATGCTGTGCATTCTGAGAAAGAGGTGGGACTTTTGATGGGGTTACAGGACATTATGAATAAGTGCAGTAACTGTTAGGTTATTTCACAAATGATCACACTGACTTACATGTACAATGCAACAGTTGGCTGGTGGACCTGGTCAGCTTTGAAAAAATGGGAATAATATTGAAGCTGTGACATTTCTAATGCTGCTGAAGAAAAACACGTCAAAAAGTTCTATTCTTTTCTAAAGTGTTGCTATTTTAAAGCCGTTCAGTGTTGCAATGAGTAATGAGGACGTTTTTGTTAGAACTTTACCCACTGCTGCCACCCAATGATACATGTGATGAAACACAGGGGCAGAACTGGGTCACAGAGTGTCACGCTCTGAAAAACACGTTGTATATCTTTGTGATTAGCACCCAGCGTGCGTGCTGCAACAGTCAAGGAGATAGTTTATTTGTTTATGTAGACGAGTCTGTACATCTAAACGGTGTTATGAATAGGTGACATGTGGCTGTCACAAACCAACATGTTACTAGATATTTACATAGAATTCTATAACTATAACTGCAATGTCTCTTTTCTTTAAAAAAAAAAAAAAGAAGGTTGTTTTATCATCTAGAAGAACAAATGTTATGGTAATTTTATCTGAATTCTAACATCTGATTTAGAATTGAAGTGCAGACTAGAATTTTTAACTGGCCATATTATAATTAAGCAGGACATTGTTTGTGTTAGAATTTTAATCAACCAACTTATTGTCTTCAAATATACTTTTGTTAATATATGTTAATATACTTTAATGTTCTTATATAGGTTTGTGCATGAATGTATTTGTCCACAGTTTGGTGGCGTGTTGTCTGTTGCTGGTCAGGAGCATCTAACCATGCTCTTGTCCCTGTCTATTCTGCCCAGATGAAGACGGCGCTGGCAGACGAGAAGAAGTTCCAGCAGCAGATCGTGGCCCAGCAGAAGAAGGAGCTAACCACATTTCTGGATAATCAGAAAAAGCAGTACAAACTCTGCAAGGAGAAGATTAAGGAGGTATGCTGGGCTCGTTGGTTTCCTCTTTTCTTCTCAGGCGCGCTCCTTCGCACGCCTTCTCATGGGTGACACGTGACCTTCTGCGCTCTGTGCTGAAGAATCAGGCTCCCACACACAAACATACATTTCCACTTCAGCATGGTCTTTTGGAAGTTGTGTTGAGTCACTCAGCCTACCAACTGTGTACCTACACATGTATGTACACACAAACAAGAAAAGTCAGAAATCCATACGCTCACCGGAGCACTTGTGAACCACCACAACCTTGTAAAAGAATCCAGAGAATACTCTTGTGGGCTGGCAGTGTGATACACTGTGTTTTCAGTTACATGATAAGTGACCAAAATTAGGTCAGCACAGTTAGGAGAAAGCATCACTGGCAGAGAGAGATATTTCCCACCAACTGAGGGCTATAACGGAATTAGACACCACAGAGAGCAGGGATCAGGCTCATGTGTTAAGTGCATTAGCGCGAGTTGTAGATTGCGCATGAAAGAGAAAGAAAATTCCTTTATTTAGAAGAAAACAATTTTCTTTTTCTTCCTTTGGCTTTAAAAGTAAACTGTTGTTCAAAATAAAAGGTCACCTTGAGTTGACCAAATGGTCTTACTAAAAATATTTGATGAAGTTGATTTGAATAGAGGTTCTATTTTATTCCCCAGCAAAAAATGGCTTACAAATAGCTTGTTTAGGCAACATTTGTTTTTCACATATCCATTAACATCCCACTGACTGCTTACAATGATACTTTACTGCTTACTAGTAATACTTTTATCTTCTGTCTTGTGTATGTTAACACAATCTCCTTTCTCTATTCCCCCTTCTACTTGGAATTTCCACCTCTCATCAGGAGATGAACGAGGACCACAGCACACCCAAGAAGGAGAAACAGGAGCGTCTGTCCAAGCACAAGGAGAACATGCAACATTCCCAGGCCGAGGAGGAGGCCCATCTGCTGTCCCAGCAGAGGGTCTTTTACGACAGGAACTGCCGCGCCTTCAAGCGCAAAGTCATGATCAAGAGGCACGATTTGGAACAGGAACAGATCAGAGAGGTGTGGAGGACATACAAGTTTCTAAAACTCGTGTGCAAGTTGTAAATCTATAAATGTTTTGCTTTTGGATAATTTTACTACTGTAAACTTCTGACTGAATTGATCAAACCATATATGCCCACATCGCGAGTTTGAATACTAAACCCTTGTTTAGTGTTTATGATCTTGGTGTACAAAAGTCCCACAAATGTTTTCACAGCAGACAGTAGTGTGTTATTTAGATCTGTCAGGTGTTTTATATTAACTGTAAGCAGGATTAATCCACAACAAAACAAGCCAACAATGCCATAATCTGAAAAGCTGTTGAGTGAGTTTAAGGAAATCCAAAAACTTTCTGTGGGAAAATGCTCCAAAATCAATGTGATTAAACTAGAAGCAAGAGGGGGGAAAAGTAAATATGTGATGTTTATTGATTTTTTTTTTTCTTCTTTTTTCCTCTCAGCTGTTACTAGTTGCAATCAATGCTGTAAGCACAAAACAGTAAAATTGATTTCTGCAAGGGAATATGTTGATGTCAAATTGATGCTTATCAATAGTACTTGCTGAGATTCATCCTTCTATTCCCTTGCTGTAACCTCCATGTCTCCTCGTGGCCCGCCTAGGAGCTGAACAAGAAGAAGACCCAGAAAGAGATGGAGCATGCCATGCTGATCCGCCACGATGAGTCCACGCAGGAACTGGAGCAGAGGCAGCTGAAGACCCTGCAGAAGCTGCGTATGGACCTCATCCGCCTGCAGCACCAGACGGAGCTGGAGAACCAGATTGAGTACAACAACAGACGTGAGCGTGAACTTCATCGCAAGCATGTGTTGGAGCTCCGGCAGCAACCCAAGAATCTCAAAGTGAGTCAGCGCAGAGACCAGTCGATCTAATATTTTACATTTTGTTTGATGGATTGATATATAAGTGCTTGAAATATTTCAAATCCCTTTTTCCCATCATCCTTAAAAGGAAAAAAATCCCTTGCCTTTGGGATCCACTTCTACGATTGCGCAAGTGATGAGCAACATCTAGTTTTTGATAAAACTGTGATGCAATATGAATGTAACAAATTAATTAATTTGGGGGAAATGGTGTAAGAATATCCAAAATATGTCACCTATGAATTTCATTTTAATTTGCCTTTAAGGTATCAAAGCCTCGAACTGTGCCTTTTGATTGGGACATTAGACCTCTAACCTTTCAAAAATGTGCTCTATTTAACTCTTGATTTCATTCTCACTGTCACCGTTTTTCTGGCCCATCCTTCAGGTTTTGGAGCTGCAGATCAAGAAGCAGTTTCAGGACACATGTAAGGTGCAGACCAAACAGTACAAAGCCCTACGCCACCACCAGATGGAAGTTACGCCTAAGGCCGAGCACAAGACTGTGCTCAAGGCCCTGAAGGATGAGCAGACACGCAAGCTGGCCATTCTGGCTGAGCAGTATGAGCAGAGCATCAACGAAATGATGGCTTCACAGGCGGTGAGCAGAGAGACGTTCATTTCATATTTCATCATATTTGCTAAACAAGAATTTCTCTTTACTAAAGTGCAGGTGGTCACGTTAAATGAATGAAGTATATGAAGCCTTTCTTTCCACCTGTTGCTTATGTTCTTGTATTTTTCTCCTGTTTGTTTGTCTCGTGTTTTGTCTTTCTCCGTCGTATCACTCCAACCTTCCCTCCTCCCGCCCCTTTCCACTGGCTTTCCTTGCCCTGTCTGTCCCCATTGCCCTTCTACTATCTTCCATCCCTCCGTCACCACCTCCCCGCCTCATTTCATCTCTGTGTCTTCTTTCCCCGCTCTCTCTCTACTCTCTCCTTGTGTGTTCCTTGTCCGTGTAACCCCGCCCCCAACTTCTCTCTCTCTGTGTCTTTGTACCTCTCTCTCCCGTGTTGCCGCCCATGGTCGGCTGTGTCAGCTGCGTCTGGATGAGGCCCAGGAAGCAGAGTGCCAGGCCCTGAGGCAGCAGCTGCAGCAGGAGATGGAGCTGCTCAATGCCTACCAGAGCAAGATCAAGATGCAGACTGAGGCGCAGCATGAGCGTGAGCAGCAGAAGCTGGAGCAGAAGGTGTCGCTGCGCCGAGCACACCTGGAACAAAAGGTGTTGTGAAATAAACACTTTATTTTAAATGAGAGCTATACATTTGGGGTTTTTCAAGTCTTCATAGAGCATGCTTTATAATCCTGTTCATTCATAATTGGTCAGTTTAGTAACCATAAATGAAACGCACAAGGAGAACATCTTTTGTACTGTCTTTAAAACAGAGAATGAATTCTTCAAACACTTCAAGACAAACTCTAATAAATAAAACACCATCACTGACATGGCAATAGGGATGTGCTATTTCCCCTCACATTTAGAACAAATTAGCTTTTGGCCTCAGTCTATTGATCAACTTAAAGTATCCCCACTGATTTAACAAATAGAGAATATTTGCATCAATTTAATTAAATCTGTGACTTTCATCATCAAAGAAAATACAATTTACCTAATGTGCTTTTTCAGTACAGAGCTGGAACATAAGCAAGACTAGAACAAACGAAAAGTTGTATTACTGACAGCCTGTAAGACAACAACTGCTCCAGTGCAACATAAGGCTTCAGAAAGAAAGAATTAAAAATACAGTTGGGTTAATGCAGAGTAAAAGTATGATGTTGCAAGTTAGTTGGAGCCCGCCATAGTTCAAATGTTTTGCACTGTATTAAGTGCCTTTTAAATTGGGAAAAAAACGTTTTTGCTCTTATCGCTATTTCTCCTGTAAAATCTTTTAAAGACCTAAATAGTGATGATTGTCCAGACATCATCTAACTTTTCCATAGACGTTATATAAAAGATTCCAGGTCTGAAAATTGAAGCCAGTGCAGAAGCGCTTTAATTCGTTATTCTTTCTCATTGCCAATAGGGGGCAACTACTCATACTGGCAAAAATAGTATCTCAATCAATAGTTTTAAATGTTGTTTAATAAAATATAAGGTTCTTTTTTCTAATTATGATCCAAGTTGGTATTAGCAGTTTTTCTAATGCATCACACCTAGTTTCAAACATGAGAAAGCAACAAAAAATCTCAGTTTCAGACTTCAAAGACCTGACTTTGCAAATCAAGAAACTCTGTGTCCATTTTTTATATACAGCCTAGTCTGATATGCGGCGTAGCATGCCGCCTTTTATTAGAAGGAACAAAACATGAAAAAATAAGATATAAAGCAAACAGAAGTCTGTTTCTTTGACTGATACTGCATTGCTTTTAAGTTTTGAATAAATTTTTTCTACATCCTTCTTTGACGTCACTCCTATTAATCCATGAAGGAAGGAGACTTTTTAAAGCTTCGTCTAGAGGCGATAATCTGCTAAAAAGCAACTAGTTCACCTGAAGCTTAAGCAAACAGATTGGGGTATTCATTTGCATCCACATCAGCAAGCAGCATGGGCATTAAAGGTGACCCCGACAGACATACACAAGTTCACACGGACACACAGATTTCCCTCACCATAGGTGGTGATGACAGTGGCATGGCTTCCTGCGGGGCGCGGACAACCATTTCTTTCCCACACACTTGTAATGATGGTGAAATCTCTAGACAACAGTATTGAGCCCTTATTACAGCATCATCCTCTATTTTTAACAGCTAACAGTTTATGTGGTGTAGCTTATTATTAAGCTTGTTCATGATAGGTTGCTGTATGCGTTCAGTCTAAAGTGCCTAAAACGTGTGCAACCTGCTCTCACCTGTGATATCAGCAGCTGTCATGGGGCTTTATCACCTTTGTTATAATTTTCCAAACATTTGATAGTTGTACCAGTCTTTGTCCCGTAATGTGATGCAAGACACTCCTGATAGACATCTGCTGTCTTTAACGTGAGCCTTTATACAACCTGTATGGTATAGCAATGACATGTAATAAGATGAGAGTATGCCTCCTTCAAAAGTGGCCTACGTCATCGATACAGTCTAGTAGACAGCACTCCGACAACAAAGAAAGGGACCTTCGAAATGCCGCCTGCCATCCAGTGTAGCCGGTGCAGGCTATGGTGGTCTGTTGCCATCTCCTGGCAGCATCCAGATCTGCACTCCGAGACGGATGATGTCATGGTTTTAGAAGCACTATTGTCCTCCGGTTCGGTTCATGGTCAGAGTCTGGAGTTTTCTGTGCATGCTCAGTAGTTGGCAAGATTGCCGTATTGCGCCACACACTGCTTTGTCCTCACCTGTGGACGTGTGTGCTGAGTTGTGTTTGTGGTGAGTACAACTTGACAGACTTGCACCTTTGAGGTAACGAAAGCAGTTCATGAAGTGTGCCTGCAGTTATACTCATTGTAATGTTGTGAGGATATTTAAAAAAAAATGCCCAGCATGAACAGCTCTGCAGTTGTCATTCTCACTTAAGACACATTTGATCAAGGAAGCAAAGTACCTCATGCTCACTGTCTAGACTTAAAAAAAAGAATCTTGGGTATGCATATTAAAAATATCAACTAAAAACAAAAAGGTCTGCCCCAGTGACCGAGTAGTGAACAATCTAACAATAAAAAATAACCCAAGAATAATGTTGAAAAATATTGTTGCAAATCTCTGCTTTTCTTGCATAAATTAACTGGTTTCACCAGTTACTCAGAGGTCCTGCATTACATCACCAGAAAACTATTCTCAGCTCTGCGAACAGGCATTATTGATGTCATTAATGCTTCCACGCCATTTCTGCTTTTACAAGTCGAGCTATGACAAAACTCAAATACACTATACTTGAAGAAAAACTGATTTTTTTTTAATGAATAACTAAGGTGCATAGGTCACGTATTATAGTGTCACCCAGTTTAGGTTTTTCCTTGCCTGAAAATAATCACTGGAGTATGTTTATTATATTTATATTTTAATTGTATATATTGGTAAATTAAGCACTCAAAGAGATTTTTACTACAAGCATTACCCCCTCAGTCACACACATCCATGCAATGTGTCATATATCGCTTCAACTCTCACACTGATGGATGCATCGGGCACCTGATACGCTGTTTGGAGTATCAGTCGAGCATTTTGCCCAAGGACATTTGCTGATATGTGGGTTGGATTGAACCCATCAACCTTCTGATTAGTAGTTGACCCTATCTACCTCCTCAGCCACGGCCATCCCACATTGCCCTCTATTATTTTCTAAAGCACTGAACATTCAAAGTTGTATTTGTTTTTGTTTTTTGTTGTTTTTTTTTAAAGTGCAGTGTTGAAGATGCTTTATATCTGTTTCAGGCTTACAAAAAAGTTTTTAATATTTAAACTGGAGGGAAAATCAAAACCTAATGATCATCAAGAACAGACAAATGTATCTTAGAAATGAGTAAACTACATTTAACTTTGAATATTTCTTGTTCCCATGTCACCTGCAGATTGAAGAGGAGCTGGTTTCCCTTCAGAAGGAGCGAACCGACCGCATCAAACACCTGCTGGAACGCCAGGAGCGGGAGATCGACACTTTTGACATGGAAAGCATGCGTCTGGGCTTCAACAACCTGGGCACCTTGGACTTTCCCAAGGACGACTACAGATGAGGGGCCGTTGTTTCTGCCGCCGCCATCTTCATGTAGTCCCCCTGGGGCAACCGTCTGCCTCAGAACACCCCACCTCTCCTTTGACCTGACCTGACAGTGCAGGTGTTCACAGCTGCTGATGCCCTTCCTCAAACACACTTTAAAAAATGAAAAGAGAAAAAAAAGAAAGAAAGAAACTGCTTCGAGATCAGCTCTGGTGTGTTCTCTGGGCCAGTCAGTCAGGGTCGATGGCAGGTTTGAGTGTCCCCCCCACCCTTCCCTGACAAACCAACCTATACTCCCTCCCCCTCCTTGCCTCTGTGGTGTCACAAGATGACAAAAAAATATGCTGGATAACTTCCTGTGGTTGTCATGTTTTTGTAAGAATAACATAGTCACAGTGTTTCTTGTTTCTTGTGCAATGATGACACTTTTGGTGTGACTAAAAGTGGAAATTGAGAAAAAGGAGGGAGACAAAATTGAAGGTCGTAGGATGAGCAAAAATCGCTTCAAAACCATGCTTTTTCAGAGGCGATAAATATATTTGTTACTTTGTTTTTTGGTCTCGAGCAGCGCAAAAAAAAATCTCTCAAAGCGAAAAATCAAACCGATCCTTCCGCAGCTGTTCGTCTGTGCTGCTTCTTTGGTATTTATGCACGCAGACATTTTTAGGACCAATTTAAATAATTTGATACTTTGACGGAAAACTCACAATGTGCATACAGGTACACTTATAGTATATGTGATTCCTTCATGTGATTACTGCAGGGTGGGTGAATCATGGTACTCAACATGTGTATTGTACTGATTTCTCTGCACTGGCAGCCAATGTGAAATATAATACACGTGAGATGTGAACTCCCAGCTAGCACAAAGGGCTTCATGGGGAGGGCAGGGGGACTTGTACTTTGTGTATAGAAGGATTTATGGAGAGCTTTTACTTATTTTCGTATTGTATTTTAACTGTCACTTAAATCAGAAAAATAATTTTTAAAAGCGCTTTTTTTCCCCTCCCCCTCTCTTCAGATAGTATTCCAAATCCAGGTATCTATCAATGGATTTTTCAGTTCATTTTCCCCCCCACTTCTTGCTTTACACAACTCTAGAGCTGTGTAGTTTCTTATAAACCAGACCAGTATGATGCTTTATTATTGCATGCACTTTAATTTTTTTTTCCAGGTTAAAATAAAGGCATGAATCTGTCAGAGCTTTTAATTATATTTGTAAATAAAGTGCTCATCACACAAACTGAAAAGGTGTTTTACATGTCTAAGGTAAAGTCTGGGAATTTACTGTGAAAAAGCGTGGAAAAAAAGATTAGATGTGGAAAAAACTCAGTTTAATCATATTGTTTAATTTTGCAACCACCTGGACGTTTGGCGTTTTACCTGAGAAGTGCACTGAAGATTTGAACTCAAATCTCAGGCCTTAAAAAAACCAAGTTGGGCTGAATTAAACCAACCATGTCTACAACTTTAATATTCTACCTTAAGCTTCATCTGCATGGTCCAGCGGGAACTACTACTGTAGTTGTTTACATGGACAAAGGTCACTAAAAGCCTGGTGATCTTTTTTTGTTTTTGTTTTTTTTCAAAATTCATGGTAATCACTTTCTCCTCGCTGTAAATAAATTACTAAATATAGTTAACCTCTCAAAATGAAACTTTTATAGAACACTTTAGGTCTCAAAGGAAAAATTCCTAAAAATGATTTATTGAATTTACATTTAAAAAAAATGTTCGAACAGAAATGCATCCTTTACCCAAGCCTTACATTCCTGGCACAAACCAAATTATTAGTAGAGGCATTTTGTGGGCATGGTCAAAATATTTTATTTCAGCTTAGAAATATCAATATTGTATTTTCAAAATCTAAAGGTCTTTTTTTTTTTTTTGGTTAGAAGTAGGAATGATTTTATCAATTCATTCCTTTTCTTGGTGGCGCCCTCTGCTGCCCCTTCAGCTAAAAAAATGGCTCCCTTAAATCAGCTGTAAAGATTTGAGAGCTTCCTCTGAAATTTGTCCTGGTAGTTTTGGCATAATCTCGCTGACTGACAGACAGAAAGGTGTTCTAGATCTCACAGAAAACATTTCTCCAAGGAACACAACCATTTTTTGTCCATCAGATTTATTGCAGCTGAGTACAGGTCAGGTTTATGCCAAGGAGTTGTTCATTTTTTTCACAGCATGAGTAGGCAACAGTGGGGAAAATAATAGTTTTTATTAATGCTGCTGGGGTGATTCTGTTGAGTCCTTTTTGTTTTGTTTTTTTTATTTTCCAGACAGCTGCTCGTACAGTTTAGGGACATAGTCATCCCACTCAGCCTGGTAGCAAGTTCCTGCCACTGGTGCTCCCAGGCTGTA